AAATAGCATTTATACAATTAATTAAGGTTTTTAGTTGAGATAAAAAAGTCAATGGCACGAGCGAGATTCGAACCCACGATCTTCGGCTAGATACGCTGCTGCTCTACTACTTGAGCTATCGTGACCTCGATCCACTCGGACACCAACTTCCCATCTCAACCCCACCTTTTGAATTTTCCCTCCTTTTTGCCATTTTTCAAATGTCGTGTAATCGGATTGGATTCTCGACGATAAATGAAATGGCCACGGAGAGCTTTAGTGAAGTGCCATTAACTTTTTTATCTCAACTAAAAACCTTAATTTATTGTAATATATTAATTGGTCAAGCGGACCACGAAATTAGTGAATTTAATAGCATTTAGAATTTGACGGAGAATTTTGGACTAAATAGATTGGAGAGGATGGGATTGAGTTGAGCCCGTACTTCACTACGCCCAGAGATGTTTTATCTAAATTAGTTTCAATTATTCATTGAGATCTAAATAACGTTCTTCAAAAACTACTCACAGCACTCACCCACTTAATGCACTCCACTTCTGAAGACTTTATATCAGCAAATCCGTTATATGTGATGAATCAAAACGATGGACTACTAACAATTGAATCAAAAAACGGGAAAAGCAAGATCTTAATCTCAGTACGAATATATTAGTTAATTGGATTCAGGAGAGGAAAAACGAAGAGTACGAATCTCTATCGGACCACAGAATGCTGACCTATATAATATACAATAACGTAAACGCGACAGAAAAACCACCTCTTCCGAGATTTAACGTATGGCAGCTAACTGGAATCTATTCGAGCAGACAAATCAGATATCAATTCAGAATTTGCAACGGAAATTAAGACATCAAATAAACTAGACGAAATGGTTCATAAAGTGAACAATATTCTTAACTTAGTATTATGTAGCAGTATACCCAAGCAAACACGATTTTGCAAGAAAAACTTTAAAAGGAGCGTGCCATGGTGGTCAAGGGAATTAATAGAACCAAGTAAGAATTTACATAAAGCGCGAAAAACTTACAAAGAGATGACTACTATTTGCGAGCTACCAAAAGAGAAGAATATTGGAGTCTAAAACAAAACTACGAAGAAAAAATAAAAAAGTCAAGAACGAAGCATGAAAAAATTAATGCAATTATTGTAAACATGAAGCTGAAGTGTAATGAAGGGCTTTCGGACGATTTCTTATAATGCAGCATCTGTTGTTACTGGAACTCTTCCAATAGATATAAAAATTAAAGAAAAGATTTAACAGAATGCATGAAACGCAATACTTGGAACATCTACTGAGGCCTGAGGAGTGGTCACTCAAATTGGCTTCCAATTATTCCAAATTATCCTTGGTGTCCAATCTAAAACGCCGCGTCAGAAAAATTACATATCCGCTCACTATTTCCTCTGTTATAAAAACCGATGGAAATTACACAAAATATTTAAACGGTACCCTTAGAAATTATGAATACTTGTGTTCCCCTAAGCATAATACTGCTTACAAAACGCCAAAACCCAGTGAAAAATTAAATTCATAAATATGATCAGTCAGTTAACGATATCCAATACACCCAAAGTGAACTCGAAGCAACACTTCTAAATATGGGAAAAGGGAACCCCCCCGCGAAAATGGTTTCACCATTGAAATTCTAGCCCGAGTAGTTAATTGCATCCCTAAATCAATGCTAGCTCGGTATACTGAATGCTTGGGGACCAGCACCTTTACAGGCAGTGGAAGACTTCACAAATCATTCTGACTGGGCAACCAGGAAAAGAAAACGCGAACCAAATCGAACTATCGCCCAATTATAATTAGCTTATTACCAATTAGGGGAAAGGTTTTAGAAAAAATATTTGTTGAAAGAATTATACACGATTTCAGAAAAAGAAAACAACTTTCAAAAAACCAATTTGGCTTTACACCACAGAAAAATACAGAAGATGCTTTGACGAAAGCAACTTTTGGACAGTACGTCAATACAAACTTCAATTTAAATAATATACATTGCTTTTCGCATTGGATGTTTAAGGAGCCTTCAACGGGGCAATATTTAAGTAGTTAAGATAAAAACAAAATCCTAAGAACTTATATAATTTAGCCAAATCTTATTTTGCGGAAAGAGTTTCAACAAACAACTACCATGAAGATTTCCAAAGAACATGGATCATGCTGGGGACCTGGATTCTGATCAATAATGTACGGCCCCTTATTAAAGGTGATTGTACGCAGCAAGCACTAAAGTACTTTTGCTACTGTTCACTAGCTTTTGTTCGTGTTACCCATATGAGGCATAAACAACAGCTAAAAAAGTTGTATGTTATCGAGAAATGGGCTCCGATCACAATCTTTTCTTTAACTCCGATTAAAATAAAGTTCTTCTAATCACAAGAAGACATATCACCAATATCATGCAAGTCTATTTCTGGGGTGAATTACTATTTCAAGTAGATGACCTGAAATATCTTGGCGTTATCTTTGATAAGAAACTTCGATGAAAATATCACAATGAGTTTATACGTAAACGATCGTTACAATTCATTAATTCCTTACATGGGCAGCAATTGGGAGGCGATACTCTTAAAACTATAATTCCCCGATTCTCATGGTTGGCGCAGCATGCGCCAATTCGGGCTGAAGCGTAATGAAGGGCTTTCGGACGATTTCTTATCATGCAGCATGTGTTGTTACTGGAATTCTTCCAATAGATATAAAAATTAAAGAAACGGTTTAACGGAATGTATGAAATGCAAGACTTGTTACATCTACTGAGGCCTGAGGAGTGATCACAGCAAAGCATCCTGTTCTTACGAAATTGAACCTTCTTTCAAAATCGTAGGATACGCCAACGTCTTATCGATTCAAAATCAGGTTCTACGGTATTACGACAACGATTTACACTAGCGGAACACAAATAACCAAGTTGAGCAGTTCGCCCTTCTACATGCAGCGAAATGGGTGTATCAGTAACCAAAGGGAACTCACAAAAAGGCAAGTTTCATTTGCACAGACAGATAATCCTTGACGTGATAGAAGATTCTAAGATCTTTAAATCGTTATATACCTAAGATCGTTAAAGACCTGATTTCACATGCACATAAGCTTATATACTTTTTAAAAAGATAGTTCCTACTCACAGTAAGCTGCAACTTACTGTAAATAGGAACTATCTTTTTAAAAAGGACTCTCTCCACCATTCATCATTTCTCTTAAGCTTATACGTTATATACCTCACTTTAAAAAACTAAATTAGTACATTAAGTTTATATACTTATAATAATAATGTAATATAAATCTTGAAAGTAGTTTTAATAATGTTCCATATTAGAATGGAATTACTTCCTTCTTACAATCTACCATGGCACGACACAAACATTTCAGTCTAACAATAGAATATTTAATTGATTCAAAGGTTTAATGACTCAAACTTTACCATTTTAACTAGTACAAACAAGTTATTATTCGCGTTTTATGAATATAAAAATTACAGGAAATTGAAAGTTGCATTTGCAAAGTGGCTGGCCATGTTTTCTAAAAAATGAAATCTTCATCAAAGATCAACAAAAGGAAAAAATGTTCATCGATTTCTTGTTACAATGTTTTAAGATAGTGTTTTCCTTGGAGGAATGTATGAGGACGCGAGAAAGGGTCGACTAATGATTCAGTTATCAAAACATCTATGGAATCATCTGCCGCTTAACGTAACACCCTCTCATCTTCTATGTTAACCATCATTCTTCACTTTAAAACGATAGAAGTAAGCAGGAAACTATTTTTAACAGCAGTAGTTCAAATTTTGTCGTCCACCTAACCGATTCATTATAACTATATTGTTTTAGCGCCGTGATAAATTAACGTTGAGCATGTTCCAGGCCATATGCAAGTGGAAAGTAGTGCACATTCTGAATGCCCACCTAACCATTAATTATAATTAACATATGTAAATAATATAATCAATGGTAGTATAATTAAGTTACATTGGTGATTGCCTTTAGTAAGTTAATTATAACTTTAAAAAAATATCTGAAAACCATTGACGTTGGTGACGAAGGACTTATAATAACGAATTATGTTTTGGAAGTAGTAACAGAGAAAAAAAAGAGGAAATGTAATGGCAGTATTAGTCAGACCGGTGACCGGAAAGAAGTTGATTTGTCTTGGACCACTTCACCGTGACTTCCTGTCCAGACCACACTCGCCAACCCTCCACCCCGGCAGGGTTGTAGCTTTGGTTTGTCATCGCCGTTTTGGCTGTATTCTCTGGCGATAAGCCTCGTGCAACAAAATAAACCTCCGCTATATCTATCGTATCATGTACAAGACAACCATATAATGTGTGGTGTTTAGTGACCGTTAGTTAATGATTATTTGGAGATCGTGAGATGAGGACTGGTATGAAGTAGGTTTTAGAAAAACATTTTCTTTATCGTGCCAACGTTTCGATCTTTATTGAGATCATCTTCAGGGCCTGGGATTTATAAACATTGTTTACATTTTACAAATACATGTAGGATGTGAAAAAAATGAATTTATACAATGCTAGAAATTTTAGATTCAATCAAATTATTTGTACTCTCTCAAAGTGTTTGTTTTCTGTGTAGATGTGTCATTCTTGTGTGTCGTGTTGAGAGTGCCTGTGAGATATCTCCGTTTTATGTCTATATAGGTTGGATTTTGAAGGTGTGGGGAGGAAGTAAGGATAGAAAGACATTTTTATATGAGGAGTCGGCTTCTTTGAGGTGAAAGGAGCCGACAAATACTTTGAATCTAAAATTTCTAGTATTGTATATTTTTTTTCACATCCTACATGTATTTGTAAAATTTAAACAATGTTTATAAATCCCAGGCACTGAAGATGATCGAAACGTTGGCACGATAAAGAAAATGTTTTTCTAAAACCTACGTCACACCAGATCCGATCTCACGATCTCCAAATAATCACAACGATGTAATGTTGAAATTGTGTAAGAAAGAAAAATTCATCGTAATTTATTTGTTCCTACAGTAGTGCGTACGTTTGAAGGTGAACTTCTCGAACTTTCGAACATCCAAAGAACAGAAATGGGATCTTATCTTTGCATCGCTTCCAATGGCGTACCACCAAGTGTGAGCAAAAGAATTATCGTCCAGGTGCATTGTGAGTATATCTTTATGAACATTAAAATTAATCAGTTATACGTAAATTACTTAGGATTATTAAATTACGGAATTGACACTGCCAGATATTCATTGCAAATTTAATTGAAAAACAGAAGATAATTCAATTAGATTTTTAATCTCAATTTTTCAGTTCATCCTATGGTAAAAGTGCCGAATCAGCTCGTTGCTGCCCCAATAGGCAGCGATGTCAACATACAATGCTACGTGGAAACGTCTCCTAAAGCTATGCACAACTGGCATAAAGAATCAGGTATCATTTACATTTTAAGTGAGTTAAAAAATAAGGAAACCTGGTGGCCGAGTGGTTTGGGCGTCCGACTCATTTGCCACACTAATCCCGGCAGAGCCCATACCTTTTTAATTGATAATAGTATAAAAAATGTATTGTGAAGTGGTTTGACCCTTCGTCCGCGACAGTTAACACAAGTAGTAGGGCGTTGAGCCCATCGCTCTAACAGAATTTACTTTACATTTACAATAAAAAAATGTCTGCCAAGTGGGTGGGCAGTAGAGCTTCCACATATTTTTATGCATGCGCATTCGCATATGTTAATTCATAGAGGATCATGTAGAAAGCGATCCACATTCTTGAAAAATGCATAAGAATCTGACCAATGCTTTCAGATATAGCTGAGTACGGAATTTTACGTTTGTGCATGCGCATGCTTATCCACGTCGTTATCCGGTTGGTATAAAATTCATAGGGGATCATCTAGAAAGCAATCCGCAACTAAAAATGTCAAGACCCAACAATTTTTGTATGCATGCGCATGCACGTATGTTAATTCATACGGGATCATCTAGAAAGTAATCAGCATAACCACTGAAAATTTCATAAGAATCCAAAATCAAAATTTCCACTCGCATTTTGCGAGTATTCTTGTCTGTCTGTGGTCAATACCTTGTAACCGGCAGAACTCCGAAAAACAATAAGACTAATTTTTATGAAATTTTCAGGGATTATACGGGTTGGTTTCTAGATGGACCCGTGTGAATTTCATCGTATTGTTTCCACGGTATCGCCTGCGCATGCTCAAAAGTACAGTCGCAACGCATACACAACTAATTTGTGTAATGGTTTCAGAGACAGATGTGTTTGTCGGATTCTTATGCAATTTTCAGGGTTATGCGGACTGCTTTCTATATAAACCCTTATGAATTTTATACCAATAGGATTAACATATGCGCATGCGTATGCACAAAATGTGAGGAATTTATATTGCCCACCTAATTGGCAGACGTTTTTTACACGTACCTTAAGCCAATACTCCAAGAATCCAGCGGAATCACACAAACTTTTGATACTTCATTGTGAAGCAACTTAAGTTTTGGAATTGGAACACCAGTTTCTCTAACAATTTTGTTGAAACATACTTATAGTATGCTCGTTACCGATCATGTCTATTCACGCTGATTTGGTCATTGTCAGACATGTTTCGGCATTTCGCCATCTATTGGGTCGGGTGATTTCAGTTATGTCAAGGAGGTCGTGTGTCGTTATCTTTGATATGGTGAAAATACTTAATAAACGAAAAAACAGATCACTGCAAGACCAATTTGTGAATAGTACAGCTCGCGTTATTTACTATTTCAAAGTTAAGAGTCAAGTAGTTGTCGTCTGTTGTAGAGTAGAAGTTTTATGTTTGGTTACTTTCTGAGGATTACTAAAGTAGTCACCAGTCACCAATACTTCAGCAATGCTTCCACCTTCCCAGCAACAGCCAATGAACCTGTAGCATTGGTCGACGAGATCTACTAGAGAAAAGACTACTATGAATTTAAAGCTCAATACGATAAAGGTGGCCATTCACGATCGCTCCAAATGGAACCGCGCCAAGCCGTATAGCTTCATTATTTGGAGTGCCTGAAACTTGAGGGGGCATTCAGGCTCCACAGCCAGTCAGTCGCCCCGAACGTCATCTAGTGAATTACCTTCTCAAAATGGATGACGATCTCTTGTGCTACGCTGTTATTTGTTTATATATTAAAAGCAAAAAACCGAAGAGGAAATGGTGTTAGAAGTGGCTCCTGAACAGAAGCCGTAATACACACATCAATTTGATGCAAGATCTTTCCCTTTCAGTTCATGAAGTTTCATGAAAGAACCCGCTGATTGGAGGAACTATTTAAGGATGGATGAAACGTCTTATTGTGTTCATTTTTAGTGTTCTATTGACCAAATTACTTCTTTCAATTAATCTTTTTTTGTAAGGTTTTGGATGAAATGAAAAGCTAGTGCCACGAGCGGGATTTGAATCCATAACCTTCGGATAAATACGTCGCTGCTCTACCACTTGAGCTATCGTGAGTTCAATCCTCTCGAGTGGATCGAACTATCGAAGTCACGATAGCTCAAGTGGTAGAGCAGCGGCGTATTTAGCCAAATGTCGTGGATTCGAATCCCCTCGTGACACTATTTTTTCATTTCAACCAAAATCTTACAAAATAAAGATTAACGTCTTATTTATATTTACTCCAACTTGTTACCCCCTTGATTAGAAAACAAAAGAAATCATCACTCTTCATGAAAGGTTAGCAGCCATATTACGTTCTCTAAGTTCACTTAAGTTCTCTACTAGGATTAGCTGCTCAGCGCTTAGGGGTTATCAATACTACATCTCTCGTTGCATTTGTATCCTTTGTTTTGAAAACGTCGATCGACCAACTGGTTGCGGACCGAATTTCTTTTATTAATATCGTGGTAATCATTGTCCACCACTTTCCATAAACATGGTAAACTTTTGACAAAACGTTTTTGACTTTTTGAGAATGTAGGACGGAGATGTTTGCTCAGTGACAGAAAGACGGAGACTGCGCCAAAAAAAAAAAAAAAAAAAAAAATTAAACAAGAGTCGTGGAAGAACAATTATTCCGATCATAAGATAATAAGCCTTTCACATGGAATGAAATAAAAAAAACTGTTTCCACCTTTATTTAATTTATTAAAATTAGGGAAAATAAGGCTCCGGGAAATGAATTTATGAACTGCATAGTGATGCAGGTAATAAATAAATACCTTTCGTAACGCGATTTATGCTTTTCTCAATTTCTGTCTTAAAAAATGGGTTTTCCCAGCAAACTGGAAGGAATCGAAAATGTTATTATGTAATAATTAAACCTGGTAAAGAAGCGAGAGATAACGCCACAAAATACAGACCCATCACTTTACAGCCAATTTTTGGAAAATATTGAAAAGGCTTTTGATAGATGAATATTGTATGGTTTTCGAAGCGAAAAGAATGCATGCAAAAACGGTGCATTCAAAAAATCACTATATATTCGTTCCTCAGAAAGGAGTAGTAGATGTTGGAATGTAAATTTGAATTGTTATGAAAAAGGCGGAACATGCGCACTAACGCTTGTTCTCGTACAACGTTATGTACTTGAATTAATTAAGGTTTTTTAAAAACCGTTTTAGTTGAGATAAAAAAGTCAGTGTCACGAGCAGGATTCGAACCCACGATCTTAGCCGAAGATATACCTCAACAATTTTCCCATCCCTATTGTGAACCATGGGACTCTAAGTCCATACCTTGGACTCTACCTGGACTAACGACTGTCATAGAACCCCCATACACAACTTATGCATACAGATTGCAATGTACGGTTCATGTTAAATGACTGCTCAACAGATGATCTAAACTCACGCAGACAAACAAAAGATAACTTAATGGCCCCTCTTCACTATGGCCCAACATAGTCGGCCCCTGTGAAGAGGGAGTATGGCCTGTAGTGTTCTATATTGGCAAAGGTTGGAAATAGTGATAGGGAACATTGGCTTATGTCTCAACATTTGCATGTTATGGCACATGTGTATTTTTACTTTTGTGAGTTGGTCTTGTCATGATGGGTATGTTTGGTCTCAGGAGTTTACTAATTGTGTTTATTGTCTTTGGTGCAGTTACGCAATTTTTTAAATAGTTCGTAGGTTATACTTCTATAAATATAATTTTATAATTTATAATATTAATAGGTTGTACTTTTACAAACAAAACCAAAGCTATGCTGCAAAGTCAGGCATTAAACTGAATTAAAAGGAAGAAACAACATAGACCATTATTAGACTGAACCCTTCAAATATCTAGATTTTATTTGGGATTTGTAATGGAAGTTAATAAAAAATAAACTGCAATTTGATAGAAAAAAAGAAAAATGAAATGTTTATAAGTTTATTTTAACATTAACCAATTAAGTTAGTATTAATATTTTTCATTCTAGGTGAAAAATTAATGGATAGTAACAAATATGAAATGGAGGAAGTTATCATAAATGAATATACACTGATTATGAATCTGACAATAAGGACATTAGAGAAAAGGGATTTTGGAAGTTATTTGTGTTCATCTGTTAATGCACTGGGAAAAGCTGAAGGAATTGTACGTTTACAAGGTACTAAAAGTAGTTTTACCTTAAATATTGGACAACAGAAGACACTAATGTGAATTTTCAGAATTGTTCGTTATGAAAACTACTGCTGCTCCAATTGCAAATATTCCGGAAGGTAGTGGAACCCGCAATAGAAAGAAACACAAAGAAAAAACTACACCGCTTCCAAAGAAAAAGAAAAAGCTGAGACATGAGGAGATAGAAGTGACCTCACCACTTACAGAGGCGGTAGTCACAATCACCACCACCTCTACTCAAAAAACGCCCCCTTGGATACTACACCAAAACAGCAAGTCCAAATGTCAGTCTTTTCCACCTTTTGTCTTGGCTGCTGCTGCCACCATATTTCTGATTCAGTAATAGCCTATGTTGTTACTACTTTCTTTCCACACTTCTTAAACAATATTGTTGATTGAATATTGGACAATACCGAATTTATCGCATAAAAAATTATTTCAATTGTTTTAGAACTAGTTATACTTTTAATTGTTGCTCAATTAATTTAAACAGTGGGAAATAAAGTAATATGTATTAGAATGATGCTCTAATCACCGATCAATCACATTTCTCTCCCTTTCCTTCTCTCTCTCTCTCTCACTCTCTCTCACTCTCTCTCTCTCTCTCTCTCTCTCTCTCTCTCTCTCTCTCTCTCTTTTGTTCTTTACTTCCTTCCTTCTTCCTTTCCTTTCTCCCTCCCCACTGCAACTCCCTCACATTTTTCCCAGGCAGAGAGAGTATAACCCAAAAACTGCATCCAGTCACCATATGTAGATTATAGTTCAGAATCTGTACATAATATGTATTTTAATATGAATTTCGGAAGTTTTAAAGATAATATATATACATATTGTATAAATACTATTTGTTTTAGAAGTAGGAAAGTTTTAAGGCTGAAAGTCATAAAACTGAAAAAACATGAAGTCTTCCCTCAATTCTCATATATCAATAATTGAGATTAAAAACTTTTATGATGATAATGGTTGAAACTAAACATTTGTAGTAATAATGTAATTAAAAACATCTCTCATTACCATATCTTAACCTATATCCTACTGAAAAAGACACACACACCATTTCATATTACCAAAAAAAGATAGTATGAAAAAATTAAATGATTATGTTATTATTTCTTTTATAATGTGTTATTTATATAAAACAAGAGACTGTGATTTATTTATGTTTAGATATCTGTTGCAGCATTGTTTAATTTATTTTCTTTGGAATGTAAATATTTATAATATAATAGACTCAGTATTATTCTAATATTTGGTTCAATATTAAATTTCATACAAAGCCATCACTATAACCCTGCTTTAATTGGTGAAGCTTATGCCAGGTTTTTTTGCCCAAACTATAAAAATTGCATTCAACTTCCTTCACCTTCATTTATATTTAAAATTTAAGTAAAAAAAATAAAGTATTATGCAAGAAAGAAAAGAGTGAGTATCTAACTAAAATATATATCATTACTTTCAATAGTAATATTTATTTATTTGTTAGGAAAATGACGCAAAATACTTAAAGTAAGGAAGACAGGGTTGGGTATTACCGGTCACTTAACTTCTAGGCATGACCATGGACATAGAAAGTTGTCAATACTGTGATTCAGTAGGAAAATTATTCAAGTTTCAGTTGATTTTTTTTTTTTAATACAATTTGAAAATTGTAAACAAGTGGTTTGACCGGCATTACCCTGTTCTCCACTCTTTGTTTAACTTTTAACAAACACCAGTTTTAATTTGTAATTATCAGTGGTGTTGCTAGTGTTGCTGTTGTTAAAAACAGGCAACTTTTATGGGAGTAAACAACTTCAATAATTCAGCCTAGATACATCAAACGAAAATTGTGTCCAGGAATTAAGAAATATTGTTCACTTGTTGTTAAAGAATATTGTATAAGACAATTTTTTTGTTTTATGAGATTGTTATTTAATATAATTGTAAATTATTTAGTTCATATCAAAATTGAAGGTGTAATCTGAAGAAAACACCAAGAATGCACAAAAGTGTATGTTTTCACATGTGTTCATTTTGTGTGTGTGTTTTGCCTGTGGATGTGTGGGTAAGCTTGAAATGAACACAATTGGAACTCATTGAAATCTCAAAATAATAGGCTGCGACGAATATAGTCAATAATGTAATAATAATGTCAAAGCTGACAATAATTAATTTAAAAATATAGGATATTTAATTTATTATAGAAGCTATTATATGGAAACCATTGGGTAGGTTTAACAGAGTTTGTCTTTTATTTTTTAAAATACAATGTTTTCGTGACCAACAGAACGAATATATTTGTTATATGCTACAATTGTATTCAAACAAAATTTTTAACAATATTTAAGTTAACAAAACACAGAACTGAACGTCTTTCGTAATTTTATTATTAACGATTGATGAATATAAATATTTGGTTACAATAGTTTGTTGGAAAGAAAATTGGCAAATCAAATTAAGAGTTGTATTATTATATAAATACTATATTATTTTTGCATAATATACAACATTACTATAAAGACAATACAAATATTATGTTATATAACATATGTGTATGTACTTACTTTCATTCTGTTGATATTATCAGGAAAGTATAGTATCACTAAACATTGTTCCTATGGTACATAAATCTATGACAATACTTGATCTACGGTAAATCTAATGGTCAACATGCCTTTTTTTAATTGTTAATTAAGACTTTCATTTAGTGTAATTTGTACAATTATGGTAGTATGTTTTGTACAAATGAAATATAAATTAATATAGTATTTGTAAGTTGTATAATGATAAAAATAAATATTATAATATTCTAAATAAATTTATGTCAATGTTGTTAAAATTAAATTATTTTACTGAAGCATTTTTATTACAACAAAATGATAGCCTCTATTTCTTTATAAACTTATAAAGTTTGATTAAATTGAAATACTACTTAAAAATTACAAAAATCATTAATAATCGGAGAGTTACCATTTAACATGTAATTCTTCCAATTTGAAATAATGTGTTTGAATCATTATGACTGAAACACAAGCAATTTAGATATTTGTTATTGATTAAAAAAATAAAATAAATAAAATAAAAAATGTTGCTTTTATAAGTACTCTTTACTATTTACTCTACTCTGGTTAGGTGATACAATTGCCAGACTGCAAGAGGATGTAGGGTGTGGATCCTTCCCAGAGCTCAGCTCTGTTGTTATTATAAGATAATAATTTTACAACAAACAAAAAAAATAGATAAAAACTCTCAGTTCAGTTAGACAGTCTTTACATTTAAGATTAAAAATATTTAATTCAAAATGGTCATAATAATAAAGTGTAACATCTACAATTATTAGGGGTATATCACATACTATCCCCTTTAATACTAATTATTCACTCCACTATCATCAACAAACCAAATCGGACTTTGTAACAAGTTTCAAAAAAATAGAGGTTCAGAAACATTTCAAAAGTGGCCACCCTTAATATTTTTAATTGTCTCTAGGACAATCCTCCATTGTTTATCTTACAACAGTATTTGGTCCATTTCCAAGGATTAAAAGTAAATAAAACATAGATAAAATCTCCGACTTGGTTTTACGATTGGATTTTATAAATAAATTTTTTGAAGTCAATTTTTTTTTTTCTACGAAGCTTTTAATGTTTCAGTAGTTTGATTTTTTAAGATGTACCGTTTTTAAATTTCAAATTTGTTTGAGTGATGGTTTTAAGTGATACGGATTAGGCCAGATTCATAGCATTGTTGGAAAGTGGAAGAAGTCCCACGTGGCCTGGGTGCTTAATATTTTTAGAAAAACTGTCCGAATGGTCTACCATCGCTACCAAGATACTGGTGGTTACTTAAGAAGGCATAGATCAGGTTGCCATAATGCCACATCTCTGAGAGATGATTGTTTTAATGTTTAGATTGCGACATTCTATTCTGTTGAGATCAAGCAATGACTTTAACAAGTTAGAAATGGTAATGTCAGTTTATGCACTGTAAAGGTGGCTCCAGACATGTGATATTCACTGAACGTCAATTGCTGCCTAACGTTTGCCAAGTTTTGAGATGCTCATGTGTGCCTATGTATACACACATGTTGGGTTCATACAACTAGCCAGTTGGTGCGGAAACAGTGAATACTTAGTTGCCAAATGCTGTGCAAGTCCTCAAATTACTACCAATCATGATGGACCACAGTAAAACTGTCATTGCCGTAGCTGCAGTTACTGTTTTGTGTAGTGGCTGGAAACTCAGTCAGAATACTGTTGGCCCATCTTACTTTCGATCCATTTCCACACATTGAAAACCTCATTCCAATTTTTGTAGTTTGGAAGAGAAGTGTTCCAAATTATTGGTACAGATCAAGGAACTCCAAGAGTCATGTTGGGTCAATTTATTTCTTACCAACAGAACCAACGCTATGATGTTCTTTCATTAATCCATCTATACTAGTTAGGAATTGTTTATTATTGAAAAAATAAATAGCATATTGATTGATTATTACAGTTGATATCCACTCAGTACAGTTGATTGCTGTGGGGATGTTTTGAATTTGGCTACTTCATGAATATTTGTGCACTTTGAAGCAGACAAGGATACCGACAATTAATCGAGCATGGCAATTACCGAAATAGTTGCTCGATGAATAACCAAGCACCCATCCCCACTAGTCGGGATTCAGTGAACGTTTGCTCAGCATTTGGCAAATCCCCCATGTCTGGAGCCACCTTCAGAAACTAGATTACGTGCAACAAGGCCTGCCACTGGTCCAGAACTTTTGATAAGGCACAGAACAGCTCGGTTAAGTTTTGCAAGCAATCACATCAATTGTTGTTTTCGGATGAGTCGAGGTTTTGTCTGAGGTCTTCTAACAGCTGAGAGAGGGTTTGGAGAAGAACAGGAGAACAATATATTCCAGCAACATTTTCACTCCAGAGAAGCTCCACATGTGGTGGTGTTATAGTTTGAGAAAGCATTTCATAAAGGGTTCCCTAACAGCTGCACAATACATTCAAGATGTTTTATCAGAATAAGCAGTTCTACTAATTGGTGATGGTTTTATTTTTATGCATGACAAGGCAAGGCCGCACACAGGATCATTGGTGACCATGCTGGAGTCCCAACGTAAACCCTAATGATCACCTTTGAGACGACTTGTCAAAGTTGGTGAGGCAAGAGAATTTGCAGGATTTAAGAATGACATTGTTGGAGGAGTATGAAAATATTTCACCGCACTACATTCAAAACCTTGATCAATGCCACATTGATGCAAGCGATGATCAATGCAAGAGAAGGAAATACTCCGTACTAAATTGAATATTTTCTTTATTATTTCTATAGCAAGATTTTTGAAAAAAATTGTTTTACTCGGATTAATTTTTTATTTAGTTATATCTTATATTTTTCTACAAAAATATCCAGTAAACAAAACAAAACAAAAAATTAACGATTGCAAATATTTATTAAAACGAGGGTGGCCACGTTTTTGGCCTCTCAATGTATTGGGTTGTCCGGAAAATAATGCAGGATTTTGGTATTAAACAAAAAAAAAGAAACTAGTTACTTTAAAGCAATGTTCTTTAATCAAAATAATTTCCCATACTCTCAATACATTTCTCCCAACGTGTTGGTAACTTATTAATTCCGTCTGAGTAGAATTCAGAATTTTTAGAATTGATAAAGTCAATAAATGCATTTTCCAGTTCCGTTTGATTTTTGAATATTATGTGTTCTAAGTAGTGGTCCAGGTGTCTAAAAAAATGGTAGTCAGTAGGCGAGAGGTCCGGAGAGTAGGGTGGGTGAGGCAAAGTTTCATAGCCAAGCTCCAATAATTTTTGTGACGTTACACGTGACACATGTGGTCGAGCGTTGTCATGCAACAAAATGGGCCCTTTCCGATTGACCAAAGAGGGCTTCATTACTGCCAATTTCTGATGCATGGTATTAATTTGGTTACAGTATGATTCAGCATTGATGGTTTCGCCAGGATTTAAGAAGCTGTAGTGTATTAAACCAAATGAAGCCCACCATACCGTAACCATTACCTTTTTTTGATGAGTTGGGGGCTTTGGAGCTTCTCCTTTGTCGAGCCACTGTCCAGAACGTCTAGTGTTATCGTAGAGAATCCACTTTTCGTCACATGTAACAATTCTGGCCAGAAATGGGTCATTTTTGTTTCGACAAAGAAGTGATGCACAAACATCAAAGCGCTGATTTTTTTGGCGATCGTTTAATGAGTGTGGAACCCAATTTTCGAGTTTTTTCACTTTTCCAATCGCCTTGAGGTGGTCAGCGACGGTCGTTTTACTGACTTTGAGTTGCTCTGCAAGTTCTCGAACAGTTGTTTTGGGGTTTTCTTCCACCACTGATCGCAGAACATCATCATTAAGAGAGGAAGGCCTTCCACGACCTTCTTCATCTTCAAGGCTGAAATCTCCCTCCCGAAATTTTTTAAACCACCTTTGCACAGTGCACTCATTAACACAACCCTCGCCCCAGACTTGGTTAATGTTTCTAGCCGTTTGGGCTCCGCTTCGGCCGAGTTTAAACTCGTAAAAGAAAATCGTACGAAATTCTCGCTTTGACATTATAAGGATGACTGAATTATTTCCAAGTAGCGGAATGCTACAGAGGTAAACAAACAATATCATTTGGAAGAGGATTAATAAGTGTTGACATTCATACAAATGAGTAATCCTGTAAACGTAAACAGAATATTTTATATAGATTTTTTTTAATGAAAACTTAAAATCCTGCATTATTTTCCGGACAACCCGATAGTACCTACTAACTACTAATTTTCAATATTAAATGTAGCCCCTCCCACAAAAAAAAAAATCAAAATTGAAATCAGAAAAGGTTGTTGGCATCTTTGTTAATGAAAATTTTAATGGTAAATGATTCATTTTCGAGCGATTTTTACTAAATAAATTAAACGAGTTTGCCCTTAGAAACCTGTAAACTTCAAAAGGAAAAAACGATACTGATTTCTGAATTGTGGATTGTAGTAGCTTCCGCCAGAAGGTGTTCAAGCCCTCTTCATTATTAGCGAACGGCTACAGTACAAAAAGAAGGTTTTTTATTAATTATTTAATTGATCACGGAAACTGGTTGAGTTGAATTTGTGCTTTTTTTTCACAATTTCTTATCAGTATGGGAAACGGTATTTGTGAAGATTTTGATGAACGATCGAAGCCTGAAGAGAGTGAAAAACCAGAAAACAGCTACGAAGATGAGGTCGAAGTTTCTGACAGCATATCGGAAGAAGGTTCGTGTAATTCTATCTACTCACTATAAATTAGAAAATTGGTATTGATTTCTTTGTATAGTCTACGATGTTCTTCGGCACTTTGAAGGATGATATTGTCTTTAATTTGACTTCCAGAAACGAATCTTACTGATGATTAGGGGGATGATTTACTCCCATAAAGACCCTGTCATTTCAACCAGAAACCTGCATAGTCGTGACCCATCCCTTGAGCAGTGGTTCAAGCGGTGGAAGATGACTACAACATCCTAAAATGTGAACATGTCACTTTCACCCTTTAGAGAATAACCGCTGATCTCATATATTACAATAGTATCCCTCTCCCCCCAGCTAATGTAGTCCACTAGCTTGGGCTAGGGCTATACATTTACAACATGGAACGTCTTACATGGAAACCACACCGCATCTCCAAAGAAAAGATCTAAACAGAAGATTCAGACTTCTTAAAAGATTGCTGGATAAACGATGCATAACACCGACTTTACAAATAAACAACTCATTTATATAACTATGTGGAGACCCATTCAGACCTAGCATCAAACTTTGGGGTTTGACAAAACGTTCAAACCTCCAACACATCCAATCTCTACAATCAAAAATCCTTCCATTCATCGTCAAGGCCCATTTCTATATATCTAATCTTACCTTTCACAGTTATCTTAATATCCAATATGTCCTTAAATTAGTGGAAAACCGCTACAAGAAGTTTCAAAAAAATTATCCTGTGACACAAACACTCATGTCCGAAACCTTTCTTTCCACACCCTTCCAAATAATCCTCCCTGATGGCTGAAGCGTCATTGACCTCCTGAGTAACAGTGAAAATGATTAATGCTAATAAATAGCAGTGACATCTAATGAGTAGTTCCTCTTTTTTCTGTTTTATGCATATTTTTGTGTTCATTTTGTTTTGGTTTTCGATGTAAAATGCTAACAAATTTACTTAAGCACAGCAATTGGTGCGGGTGTAAACAAATAAAGAAGATTTTTAAAAAATAATTCGAGTAAAACTAAGAAGAGACGGGTCTACAGTTCCTGAATAATCACTACATGCATGTAATCCAGCCTGTAAAAGACAACGCAATACAGTTTATTTACTTGAGTTCATGCATCTTGTGAATTCAGTATGTTTCAGTTTATTGCAGGTTCTCAACATGTTTCGGTGCATTCTAGATTAGTTTTTATTCATTGTCAGTCATTGTCATTGTTGCTTGAGGAGGGAAGACTGTTTCATTCAGCCTTTTGACTGCCTTTATGTAGCGACAATTATTATTAGTAGTGCTGGGTTGAATGTCAAAGAGTCAATCCTTACGACATTAAACATTGCCAGTCCCATAATAGGCAATTACCAACAAAGCAGGCAGAGATTGACAAATTATAAAACCTAACCATCTCTAACTGAAGAGTCAGATTTTAAAAACACTGACTGAGGTTCAAGTATCAGATCTCAAACTGCAATAATTTACTATTGTTCTTTCAGCCTTTATTTCCAACACATTTTAACGTAATGTGAAATGATTAGATAACTTAATAGTATACAGTCAAAAAATAGTTACAGTTATCATAAAATAATGATAACTAATTACTTAGGATTGACTTACACTTATAATTTTGTTTTTACTTATTTTTAAGCAAAACAAAAACAAAAGTAATGTTTGTAAGTTGATAGCAAATTAAATATTATGTTGCAGAAATGGAAATGCTTAACTCCCAGTTGGACCAGCTTAACTCTGCTCTTGATGATCTTGAAATGAAGAATGAATACATTCAAGCCAGGTTGTTGGATCTCCTCAGGTGCAGTCGTGAATATAGGCAAGAGATGCAGGAACAAAGCTAACTGGGGCTGCCAATAAACACATTCCTTATATAATTATTTCTATTATATTTTTCAGACAGTTCAAGTTTGACTAGGAAATAATGCATTTATGTTTGTATATTAGTATTCTTTTTTCCTTTCTTTTAGAGTTTTACAACTTCCTGTAAAATATATCTATATTAAAAAAAAATGTGTTACTGAGTTTATATTTTCTTACTTTTCTGTATACACCCACTTTAGAAAGATGTTTATGATGATGAAATCTAATCTGAATATATTTTTGGACATAGGATTTTTATACTTTTGATATATGATAAATTGGTTATTAAAAAATATATATCTTAAAATGAACTGCTGATGTTATTAAATAAAATATTTAAAAAAACTAAATACAGAATAGAACTATTAAGTTCTCAACTATTAAGCAGTTCAAAAATATACCCTTTTCTGACCACCTACCTATTGTGTTAAATGTATTAATGCTAAAACAATTTGTGAGAATGAGAAAACACAGGCTAGTTTCACAAGTTATACTCTACGGTAGACCACATTATAAATTTGACGACTATGATTAGTTAACATCAAAACAAAAAAGTTGGATTTTTGTGCAGCTTTTGATAGTATTGGTTGACCACATGCACTATTTTATAAAATATCAAAAACGTATATGTTAAAGTCTTGTTAGTATTTGTTGGTTTGTGTACTGAAACAATGGCAACAGTTTAATGTTATAAAGTGAACCAAATTTTTTGAATTTCCAAGTGGAAAGTGAGAGATCTGTAAGATTGAATTGTATACGACAGATAAAAAAACTATAGCCTATGATCCCATAAGATCATGTCCAGGAGATTTTCTACTTAGGTAATTGTGAATATAGGACTTCATTTCAGATAAGGTGTAATAGTGGGATAAGTAGAAAGAGGGATGTCAAGGTTTTTTATTTACTTACTATTCAAATTGTGTATTGTTTATATTAGGATGAGGAGTAAAGGTGTGTTCAAAATGAGTTTCTTATTTATCTCCATCCACCCAGGGCCCATTAAGTACCACTTTTTTGATAGTCAACCATGTGTTTAAAGGATTCAAGATAGTTGCCGTACTGTGATTTTAGATTGACGTTTAGCGTTTAAGATGAGACAGATATAATTTGAGAGAATTCGTTTATGTCTTGAGTAATGTGTTTTAGGCGGGAATGAAGATTAAAGAAGTGAATGCTGGACATTGTTGGTAAAAAGTAGAACTGTATCTTCCATGTCATTGGCAGTTTTCATTGGAGTATTTAAATTTTGGAATGACTTCAGTCAAATGTACCCTGCAGAAGGGATCTTTTCATGGTTTAGGAAATGGAGTTACAGGAATAACTAATAAATAACCTGATGATAGGTCATTTAGGCACTGGATGGATGAGGCGATGACTCCCATGCCTGATCAGATGAAGAAATCTTTATCTAAGAAATTTGGATGAAAGGAGGAACAATAAGCCAAAATTATGTGTGATAAAATACATATATCATCATCATATAACATATAAACCAATCATCACATTCCACACATCAAACATTTCTACATAGTCTAATTTTTCAACAATTTAGCTTTCCTTTACCTAATTATCCCCGTCTATATAATCCTGAAAGGACAATCAGGCCAAACCATTACCCACGTTTTTACCCATTGTCGACTCCTTTTGCCTCAAAGAAGCTGACTCCTCATATAAAAAAATGTCTTTCTATCCTGACTTCCTTCCCCACCCCTCCAAAATCCAATGTATTTAAACATAAAACAGCAATATCTCACTGGCACTCTCAACATGACACATCTACAAGGAAAACAAACACTTTGAGTGAGTACAAATACTTTGATTGGATCTAAAATTTTCTAGCATTGTATAAATTCATTCTTTTTTAAACGTAAAATTTTCTATCATTATATAAATTCATTTTTTTAATCTAAAATTTTCTAGCATTGTATAAATTCATCCTTTTAAATCAATAACTTTATATCATTATATAAATTCATTTTTTTAATCTAAAAATTTCTAGCATTGTATAAATTCATCTTTTTTACATCCTACATGTATTTGTAAAATTTAAACAATATTTATAAATCCCGGCCCTGAAGATGATCTCAATAAAGATCGAAACGTTGTTTAGAGAAAATGTTTTTCTAAAACCTACATCACACCAGGCCCCATCTCACGATCTCCGAAAGTCCGAATAATAATAAAAAAAATTTATTTAGAAATCGTGAGATGCGGTCTGGTGTGATGTAGGTTTCAGAAAAATTTTCTTTATCGTGCCAACGTTTCGATAAAGAAAATGTTTTTCTGAAGCCTACATCATACCAGATCGCATCTCACGACTTCTAAATAAATATCGATTAACGGTCACTAATCACCACACAAAATAAACAAAAAGCTCTTAAACCGGAGTGGGGGGGAATCGTAGAATCGGAAAAGGGATTGAATCGTAGGGAATCGATTCACTGAAAAGAATCGTTCTTCCCTTCACGGCATCGGCATCACTAATACTAACTGTTCCCTACCGTTAAGGTTCACCGTTTTTCTTTATTGGAGTAAACAATTGTTTTCAAAATGGTATTATTTAACTATTACATTTCATATAAATTTATTAATTGTTTGACACCGGTTTCTTTTTCAGCTGCCACTATCCCTTCTTCGGACGGCGCAGAACCACCCGATGGTAAGTAAATGTCAACTTCGTAAAATATCGTTCGACTTTAGCCGGCGTAAAAAAACTGGGGGACAAACATGCATTTTGCCTATACGCCACGGTGAAACAGCCGTTTATTTGTTATTTACTCGCTGTATAGTTGAGCTTTGTATTGTTTTGAGATTAAAAAAATAAATAAAAAATATTACTCAAACTATTTACTAATACATTTAGTATCTACATTTTTGGATTTAGACATAAGCTCAAATCTCCACATGTATTTATCCACTGATGGGCAATTTTGACGCTCTACTCAATTTATTTAGTTTAAAATTAAATAAATTATCTTTCTACATTAGTTACAGGTAATTAGGAGCTATCATAGTCAAAATAGACAATAAATAATCCTTTGTTTACTTTTGTACTGATTTATCCCACTTAGCACAAAAAAGTAGCATTACCCATTTTGTTCTGCTACACCTAAAAAACCCAGCCAAACACATTTGGGTGTTAAGAATTAAGTACAATGGTGAAACCCAGGTCCTAACACCCTAGAAAAGGTGGAAACGGCTGTTCTTCATGAATGGGAAAGTGAATTTTATCCAAAATTTTTTCCAAGGAATGCAAAGGCATTTAATGGAAGTGATTAGTGTCAGAGGTGGAAATACTGTGTATTAAAGGGGACAAAAAACAATTTTTACATTTTTGTTTATTTTTAATTAAATTCACTAATTTCGTGGTCCGCCTGACCAATTAATATATTATAATTAATTAAGGTTTTTAGTTGAGATAAAAAAGTCAATGGCATGAGCTGGATTCGAACCCATGATCTTCGGCTAGATACACTGCTGCTCTACCACTTGAGCTATCGAGACCTCGATCCACTTGGACACTTACTTCCCATCTCAACCCCACCTTATGAATTTTCCCTCCTTTTTGCCATTTTTCAAATGTCGTTTAATCGGATTGGATTCTCGGCGACAAATGAAAGAGAGCTTTAGTGAAGTATACTTCATTATTTTTAATTTTTTTTCATTCTTTACTCAATTTTTTTAAGAATTATGTAATATCATTTCTTTTTAAATGTCTTATTTTTACAGCCAAACCTATTTTTGGTATGCAAACTATGAATAAACTTGCATATATTAAAATTTAAGGGTGGTATGTTTCCTTTTTGTCCATCAATGTTGAGAGACAGATCACTTCTCGCAGTCCACTGGCAATTCCAGCTTTTGCGATTTGAAATGAATCACTGGCAGGCCTCAAGAATCACCCACCCCAGGTGTTGGTAAACCCTGGTCTTATCCATCCACCCACTGCGGTTGGGTTCCGGGTGCTATTAACAGCAAGGTTAATTCAGCACATGCAGTTCCAAACCCATTTACATTTTTCTTAAATATATTATTTCCTATTCACATACCATTCATTCTACATCCATGTGTAAAGTAGATTAGATTTACTGTAACTTTTTGCACTATGTGATAATTTACAAGAGGTCAGGTTAATTAGATCTACATAATCTTTCAATAAACATTTTACACAAATGAAATATTATTAAAAACTAACCAAACTATCATGTTATAAAGAAAAGATACATATCTTGAAATAATATAAAAACCATCAACTGTGGAACCTGGAGATACTACATCTTTTAGACAAAGGGTAAGGCATTAGCTACTTAAATGTTTATAAATTTGACATGCTAGAAAAATAAGTATAAGGTTTTCCTGATTGTACAAATTGCACATACTACTATACACTATTCTACTATATAGAACAGTAGAATTAGTATAGTTGTTTTTGTGTATAAAAAATTTCATTTCATCATTTTTGGAAAACCTCAACAGCATGGCTATTCTTTGGTATTTTAATGCCTATATTGTTGTTTAAATAATAATTCTTTTGCCCATAATAATAAATTTGTTGGAAGAGAGTAAACACATGGCAAGTTCATTCAGTGTATTAATTTATTTGATCACCTTAAATTCTGATCTCTTATATACTTATTTAAAATTAAAAATAAGTTCTGCCCATCATGCTTTTTCATTATATTTGATTGTAATTCTTCCTGTAGTTTAAATACTATAAAAAGCTTGCATCATAGGATCTAAATCTATGAATGATTCATTTTAAGTTGTTGGGGCGCATCTGTGGAATTCCCTTCCATGGCATATTAGGTCAGCCCACCCCCTTCGGGCTTGCAGGCGTGAAGCTTTAAACTTTTTTGCAAATCAATCCTTGATTTGATCAAACAAACTCAACAATATCTTGTTGCTATTCTTTTTTTCTGCTCTCTTCTATACTTTTCCTTTATACCTCCTCTCCTTTATTCATATTCAATTATATCAATGTGTCAATAGCATACAAATTTTGTTTATTAATTATCATTTCTTGAAATATATTTTGTAACCTTTTTGTTATTTAATTATTTTATACTTTTTCTAAGCCCAAACCCTATTGTGAAAGTTTTTTAAAAATAAATATATAAGATATATTTCTATATAATGTTATGGATTTATTTATAAGATAAACATTTATTATTTTGTTATCCACCATATTATTGTTAAAGTATAGCTTATGCATGATTTTCCAGCTAGTTGAACTAAAAAATGGGGAAACATACAATGGACATTTGGTTAGTTGTGACAATTGGATGAACATTAACCTTAGAGAAGTTATCTGCACTTCCAGGGTATGTAAAATTAATGACTAACTAACAGATTAAAATAAATATTTTTTTTTTTAGGATGGTGATAAGTTTTGGCGAATGCCCGAGTGCTATATTAGGGGCAGTACAATTAAGTACCTACGGATACCTGATGAAGTCATAGATATGGTGAAAGAAGAAGTAGTTATTAAATCTAGGTCAAGAAGTGAAATGAAAGGTGGTCGAGGAGGACAAAGAAATAGAGGAGGCCAACGTAAGTTTAATTAATTAATAATGTTGCCAACATTCTTAAGTGAGTTGGTACAATCTTCAACCTTAGAGTGGGTAGGTGGCCCATGATGATAATTCTAACATGCTTTCTGATGAAATTGGTGATGTTTTGAAGTATGCAATTTGGAGTGCTTTGCAAGGGAAACAACTTTTAACAGTCTATTTGAGACATTGTGAGGAGCCATATGTGTAATGTTTATTCGGAGATTGTGAAATGCGGTTTGGTGTGACGTAGATTTTAGAAAAAACATTTTCTTTATCATGCCAATGTTTCGAACTTTATTGAGATCATCTTCAGGGCCTGGGATTTATAAACATTGTTTAAATTTTACAAATACATGTAGGATGTGAAAAAAATGAATTTATACAATGCTAGAAAATTTTAGATTAAACAAGTGAATTTATATAATGCTAGAAAATTTTAGATTCTATCAAAGTAATTTGTACTCACTCAAAGTGTTTGTTTTCCATGTAGATGTGTCATTCTTGGGTGTCCTGTTGAGAGTGCCAGTGAGATATTGCTGTTTTATGTATATATACATTGGATTTTGATGGGGTGAGGAAGGAAGTCTGAATATAAAGACATTTTTTATTTGAGGAGTCGGCTTCTTTGAGGTGAAAGAAGCCGACAGTGGGAAAAATGTGGGTAATGGTTCAACCTGATTATCCTTTCAGGATTTATTTGTTAGTAGTGTGGGATCTTTAATTTTGGAAAAAAGTGTTTTATACTTTTTGAATGCTATTTTAAAGTTGTCAGAAGAGAGAAATGTGTTTAATTTATGTGATAGGCCGTGAATGAATGGCATGGAAAACATATATTGGTTGTCTGTAATTGATAGATTTAATGTAATATTATTAGTAATGTGTGGTGATTAGTAATAGTAATTATTAGCAATAGTGGATGGTGTTAGTGTTGAGTTGTAGTTGTTGATTATGTGTTTAGGGTAGTGAGCTGACTAAGAAGCTGACTCCTTATATAAAAAATGTTTCTATACCGACTTCCTTCTCCACCCCTTCAAAATCCAATGTATATAAACATAAAATAGCGATATCTCACTGGCACTCTCAATGTGACACACAAGAATGACACATCTATATGGAAAATAAACACTTTGAGTGAATACAAATACTTTGATTGAATTTAAAATTTTCTATCATACAAATTCATTATTATTATTTTTTTTAATCTAAATTTTTCTAGCATTGTATAAATTCATCTGTTGTATTTGTAAATGTTACATGTATTTGTAAAATTTAAACTATGTTTATAAATCCCAGGCCCTGAAGGTGATCTCAATAAAGATCAAAACGTTGGCACGATAAAGAAAATGTTTTTCTAAAACCCGTCATTCCAGACCGCATCTCAGGATCTCCAAATAATTTAACGGTCACTAAATACCACACATTATGTGTAATGTTCCCCTTCAATGATGAACTTTTTTATATGGATTAAAAATAAATGTTTACATAACATTTAACCTGTGAAATCATTTTATTTATTTATTTATTTTTTTTTTTAGGAGGAGCTTTTGGTGGACGTGGTGGACGACCTGGTGGCTCTCTTGGTCGAGGTGGTGCAAGCATGGGAAGAAACCCTCCAAAAAACAAAAATAAATAATTTTTTTAGACTTAAAAAATTGTACATATTCCAAGTATATACACTTTTAAAACACAATCTTTTTTTTCCTCCCACCCACTGCGATTAAAGCTGCCTTAGTTAATTATATTAAGAAAACAAATTAAATTAAATATAGCAATTTATATTCTCTCAATCTATCTGACATCTCTCCACAGTCACCTAGAATTTTTAACAACTTAAAGATTTATATTTCCTGCAGACACAAGCAAATGCTTGACTGTTACTACATCACAACTTGTCGAGTATTGAGGTGGTAGTTCCCTAGTCAGTAGGTAGCCATGTGTAATCCCAGTGACCGATTGCAACATAGCAAGTGCTGTTTCCGTTTTTCTATATTTTTGAATCAAGTAGGTACACTGATGTAGCACAATGCATCCTGTGTCAGGAGTATCTCGATAAAGATCGAAGCGTTGGCACGATAAAGAAAATGTTTTTCTAAACCTACGTCACACCAGACTGCATCTCACAATCTCCAAATAATCACTTTCAAGTAACTCTGATCAAGTCATTTCCACTCAAAACCTTCAGGAATACCTCACCCTACTGAAGTCATGGTTTAAATAAAAAAAAAATTTTTTAATTGAAAAAAGTTCACTCAAATAACTTTCACTCTATGCAAACAGATCTACTTCAGCCAACCACCATAACTCCTCAAATACAAAAACTCTCATCCTGATAAATTCCCTACAACCCTACTTGCCGATTAAAAAGAGAGAGAGATCTTTCCAGTGATAGTGACATACCTTGATTAATTAGAGAAAACTTAGAACTTGGAAGAGTACTGCCAATGGGTAGTTTCTTCACTCCTCTTTATTTAATTCGTTTTTACATTCATTGTTACTGGGTACCTATTTGAGGATAGTTGTAATACACGGTAAATAAATTTAAGAAAAAGAGCTTACATAAAAACAAATAGAAAATGTACAGTATCATTTGTTGGAGATATTGTAAAATAATGTATTTATGTTCATCAAGCTATTAATATTTGTAACAAGACATTGAGAGGAAGTTCTGGAAATTGATGTGCTATCCTCCCATTTCTTTGGCAAAAATTGATCTTTTTTGTATAATACTTTTCTTAATTTGGTAACAATTAAAGGTCAATGTTTAAAAAAAAACTTTATCTGATAGGAAAAACATTTTTGGTAACTTTTAAGTGTTCTAAGTTAACTGTTAATCTTTAATAAGTAAGATAGATATTGTATTATTTTCGGAACACTAACAGTATTGAAATTTGTATTTCATTATTACAGACTACTTACTATATGGGCTGCTGGGGCAATAATAAAATATTAATATTAACATGCTCACTAACCTGACTGCCAGCAGAGAGAGTTGATTTACTATTTGTAAATCCCTCCTGGAAAAAGAAATAAATAAGTTAAAATCAGAGAATAGAGGACAAAGTAAATATAAAAAATAGATGTTATAAAAATGAAATTACCCTCTGAAGGCAAAAATCCTTGCCTTAAAACAGGTATGATGAACCAGTTAACTGTACACACTGTTTAACACTCACGGAACAACTTAATGCACTGTTTAAACAACACTTTTTGCAAACACAGGAAAAAGATATAAAAACGGAACAGCACCACCTAGAGAAAAAAAATGTATAAAACATACACTGTCAAACAAATTGCTCAATAAAGTAATGCGCAATATTGCATTGCATAATTGCATTATCTATATACTTGGTTAAATTTAGTTCAAACTTTAGTTACAAGTTGGGAATTACATCTGCCATAGATGATGGCTATGTTACCAGAAAATGAAAAAGAAAACTCAGAAATTGGATGAAAGAATGGCTAAAGAAAAGGGTGGCTTTTAGCCACAATAGCCCAATTCAAGAACTACAATTTTCATCCCCACTTGATTACAAAAATTACTTAAAGATGACTTGAAATACTTGCTGAGAACTTTTGTAAATGGAGTTTCCACATATGACACACAATTGAGAGATTCCACTAGCCAATAATGAAAAAATATTTGACTCTTGCTATGTTCCCAATGCTTGCACTGCATCGCATTAGAAAGGTATGTTAAAACATCGTCCCATGTGGACACAGACGCGGGTAATAGCTAATCATGTCATGTGTAAAATATCTTCGGTAAATAATTAGGGCTCCAATTATTTTGTCTTTTTTTAAAGAGGGTATTTCAATTATGAGGTTATTTGAACACGGGCCACTGGATTCGAACCCAGGACCTTCGGTAATGACCGCCATGTCAACACCTAAATCGTTGCGGCCACCAACACCCATTTAGGCACAGAATTATTGTCATCAGTTTTACCATGGATGGATTCATTATGTCATTCATTATGGATGATTTGTAATTTCTTGAGAGTTTAAATACAATTTGAACCTCCGCCATTTGAACCAACTTGAAGAGCCAGTAGCCGAAAGGCTTTTGATAATTGACATTAAATAAATCAATACAATGTAAACCCATTTATCTGGACCCCGATTATCCGGACCAGTTTGTTAAAATATTTTTTATAAATTATTTGGAGATCGTAAGATGCGGTCTGGTATAGTAGTGTATAGTGGTATTGCCCTACGATCTCCAAATAATCATTAATTCGGTCACTAAATCAGTCACTAAAACGGTCACTAAACACCACACATTTTTTATAAACTTTTCATAATTCTCTATGTATGTATATTATTTTTTTAAATTCATAATTCCGCTATGGAACCTTCAATTCATCGTTTGAAATTTGTAAAGGCCACCAAATCCCCCTTCCACTAGTCACACAATTGAAGAGACTGGAGAGGCGGACAGTCATGTTTTTGTTAAAAAAAAATACATAAAAAAAAGGTTTATGCTATTTTAAAAGACTATAAATTGTTGTTCGTATCTTGGCTTCCATTGAAAAGGTTTTTTTATTACGTATATTTTTATTAGGTATTTTTTACGTATAAATTTTTTGAGAAATGCATGTCTGGAAAAATAAAACTAATAAAAACTCTATTACTTTAAATATAACCTGATAAATGAATAAAAGTGTTCACTTTCACATGTGGTTTTTTTCCGTTTTTATGACACGATACTAATAAAATGACAGATTTTCGGATTATCCGGACTTTCGATCATCCGGGCAAGTCCCGGTCCCTTCAAGTCCGGATAACCAGGTTTCTACTATATATGAATTATGTAATAATTGAAAACTGATCAATTGGCTATTTGCAATGGAATTCGTTACAAAAAAGAAAGATCGAGACTTTTTAAACTTAATAAATGTAAAAAATTAAAAATACCTTTTTCAAGGATGAAAATGTGAAGTCGGCTTAATGGCCGTCACAAGAGAAAGAGGGCGAATGGCGGGAATATAACTTCCCAGTTCCCCACTTACTGGTAATTAATTTCAATTCTCTCACAGCTAAACTTAAGAAACGATGGAAATTGTTTAAAAATAATATAAACAAAATATCGTAAGTTGTTTTTTTTTAACTGGGTCGAATTATTTTAAAAATTTAAGTAATATTTAGTACTTTCGGGAGAATGTTAATTATGCTGGCAGCGATCAGATAGGTCGTCGATTTTTCTGTTTAGAATTTCAATAATTTATTTGTCTAAATTAAATATACGGTAATATTTTGTTTTAATATATTTTGGAAAAGATTTTGAGAAATGTAATCTTTTTTATTTCCACGGAGGGGGCCTGCATCTCACATTTTCCCGCCATTCTCATGGACGATACAGGTTGCAACAGGTTGTTGGTTATATTTTTTAATGTTTCGATCTTTATTGAGATCATCTTCAGGGCCTGGGATTTACAAACATTGTTTAAATTTAACAAATACATGTAGGATGTGGAAAAAAATTGAATTTCTAGAATGCAAAAAAATTTAACAATGGCACAATTATGCAGAAAACAAACACTTTGAGTGAGTAGAAATACTTTGATTGAATATAAAAAATATTTTTTTGCTTGTCAGTTGGATAAAACAAAATAGAAAATACAAACAAGCAAATGTTAATTAATTTACTTAAGAGGTGTCTCTTGGGGAAGACTGGTTTAACAAAGTTATGGCAAAAAAAAAACCAGCAGCGTAAATTCGGCGAGGAGCTGAATATTTTACTGTATGTTCGCGAACATCCGAATTCCTCTCTTCAAAATTTTGGAAGGTTTAAAAAAAAAAAAAAAAAAAATTAGATATGTTCTCCAGACTTACAATTTTAAACCGTATCGTATTTCATCTTGTTCAGGGACTTCAGGTCTCTGTTTATGACAAGTGTCTTAAGCTTTAAGGCTTTAAACGTTCATTGCACAAATGTCGATTTGTGAGGATGAAGAAAACGTTCTTCCATATATCCCATGAACTGATGATTCCAAATTCCAAGTGGGCAGAGGAAATTCAAGAATTTCATCTCTTGTCATCATCAGGTGGTTCACAGGTGTGGACTTCTCGGAAATAAATTAGTTGAGCCTTAATTATACGAAAACAATTTAAATGGTGCTCAATTCCTCAATTTTTTGAGGGGGGTTTGCCATCACTATTAGATGATGTTCCTCTGCAACAACAACAATCCTCCATATTTCTTCCTCCAATCCTGCAGGTCGTTTTACGTTGAAAAAGAAATTAAAATTTTTGCCTTTTTGTCTAGGTTGTTTGCATTTATTTTCAAAACTAAGAGCTTTACGAGCTTAATTCTTTTTCCAATCAACCCAGCAGATCGTTTTACATTGAAAAAGAAAACGAAAATTCTTTCCTTTTTATCTAGGTTGTTCGCATTTATTTTCAAAACAAGAGCTTTTCGAGCTTCATTCTTTTCCAAATCAACCCAGCAGATCGTTTTACATCGAAAAAGAAAGTGATAATTCTTTCCTTTTTATCTAGGTGGTTCACATTTATATCAAAACTAAGAGCTTTTCGAGCTTAATAATGTTTCAACAACTCATTTTGTCCTGGTATGAAGTGCTGTTTTTTTTTTCTGTTTTTTTTGTGCGAGACCAGTTTAAAGCTACATTAAAATTTTCGTGGCTGAATCAATGTTTTCAAATACAGATATTGGCTTCCTCGACTTGACTTTATCAGTCATGCTGAAGAAGCAGAACAAGAAGAGGAAATGACGGTAGTCAAAGGAGTGGTATAAAATGAGAAACCTCTTCACTCACATTTAATCAACGTTCTATGTGAAACGGAACCAGAAACTTTCTCAGAATGAACCAAAAAAATTTTTACTGTTTATTGGAGTACGACCCAAAATAGAAAAGAAGGACAGTAATATGAGTGAAGTGATTCCTTCAAAAGTAGCACCAACAGAAACTTCAGAGGTAAGAAATTTTTTCATCATATCGACCTACCTTTAATTATGAATTACAGTAAATACAGTACAGAACTACAGTAAATACAGTACATACCTATACTATTTATGCAACCTAATCCTTTAAATACGGTCTGTAAATACTGTTTATGTAACCTAATTATTTTACTGTTTTCCTTTCATCATATAGGTAAACACAATCATGGAGGATGACTTAAAAAATGTTTTATTTATTCAATAAGGAAAAAATTTCAAAACACAATACAATGCTACTGAAAAGTTTTGTTGACACTAGTTATTCAGGTAATTGTTTTGCCATGGCACTGAACCATAGGTGTTGAAGAATTCGCAAGTCATCCATTATTTTCTTTGCTTCAACTGCCGAGTTGCCTTTGCTTCTTTGAAGTTGTAACTTCTCTTGAGTTCCTTATCTCCATGACCCAGGTTCCACATTAGCCATAGACACGTCATGGGGGTGTATATAGTTTCCACTATTTCTTGAGCAGAAGTAGTTGTGTAAATGACAGCATGCCAAAACAATTTTTCTAGCTTTAACTTGTTCAAATTTTAGGTCGTTTTGAAGGATTTTGAACCTCTTTGTTAATATCCCAAACATCTATGATCCTCCATGCTTAGGACAATCTATAATTGAAAACCCTTTTTTCATCAGTCAAAACAGCTCTGTTGTAGGGCTTTATAAAATTAGAGAGTAGCTGAAAAGCTTCATCACCAATGAAAACATACAGAAATTTTTTTATTAGTACCTGGTAACGAGAATCGGTCATGTTTAGTTTATTCTCAGACAACTTGCGCCAAAATAACGTGTTCTTCATCACTCCACCATCTGACACTCGCCCATTCGCTCCGACATCGACCATCATAAATTGATAATTTGCATTAACCCTTTGTAGTTGTAGTAGACCCAGAATGGGGGGAGGGGAGTTGTTGGATCGCTGCATGTTTGCCACCACTATTCCCTATGCAGTTATGAAAGTTCCAGTTTTCTTCAAATTCCTCTGCAACCTGTTTCCATCCTTCTTCATTTTTGGGAACCTGAAACAATTAAAACAAAAAATTTATTATTGATTTATTTATTTATTTTTTATTTTTAGACAAACTGATTAATATATAACAACACATACAAATCAAGTTATATTACAAGTGGGTGGAATTTTTTGTCTGTCATTGTATTTTAGCATGTTGGATCAGGTGTATCATGAGATACCATTGGATAATAAAAGTAAAAAAACTCACGGCTTTTTCAACACCATTTGACACATATGCTTATAACACAATCCCGGCTGATCGTGTGTTTCGGCACATAGAAAAAGAGCTAAGGCAGAAAAAAAATCTTTAAATGAATACCATAGAGTGTTTAAAAAATATGGCACTGTCAAAGTTATTGGAGTAGATTGGGAGCCCTATGACTGGAGAGAAGAAGCTAGACTGTATGTAAAAATGCCAGCACAGTTACGCTTCCTCATAAGTCAATGCAAAAGAGTAGTTTTTTCAAACTCATCAAAAAGTTGAAAAATCCTTGTAAGAGGTGGATTCAGACAATTTAAACATTGGGACTTCAAAACTTATTGAAAATAGGGGAAAATCTTGTAATAGTCAATCCAACACCGATAAAAATTGGAACAAAAGTGAATAATTTGAAATTGAAGGATGTTGCGAAACTCCTGCATAAATACTTTGGAAAAGAATAGGAATGTTTGGAAGAACTTCAGTGCTATAAAAAAAAGGTAAACATATAATGTTCTCTTATCTTGGAATAATAATAATAATAATGTATTAATTTTTTTCATTCAGGGTGACATAAATATTGCCAGCGCAAGCATGCCAGATCTAGATTGTTCAGTCTCCTTAAACTTTATCGTAAATATAATTCAGTTGTAGTTAAAAATGTTTATCTTTTTGCAAATAAGGCATATCTCTCTGTCAGAATATAAGGAAACATTTTTATACTTCCTTAGCATTTCAATTTAACTATGTCAACAACTCAAAGGATTCCATGGTAATTCCATCTTAATGAGTGGTTCTTAAAATCCACATGCTTTAGTATATGAATGCAACAGAGTGACCTGGGCAGATGCTGATCATAGTTTACTGCCTTGTACTCGCACTTTGGAGGGAAGAGAGGAATTAATAAAAACCTTAGTGAACAATGACGTCCCCCTACCCACAAGTTGCAGCATCTTCCAGGGCAAGGTGAAAAACAAAAAATAGTCAAGCCATGGGTGTATTTATGGGCAGAAACAACATATAAATGTAATAAAATTAAAATAACAATAACAAGAAATGAATACTAATTAATAGGGAAACAAAATACATAAAAAAGAAGAAAGACATGGTTATATACCTAAATAGGCAAAGCCAAAAAAGATTTTTTTTTTCATACGTACATTTAATGAAAAATTTCATTAATTGTTTTATAAGTTATTATAAGTATACTGCTGTTATTATATAGTATTAGAAGGTTTTGGAAAGGGAGTAATGTGGAATGGCTTGGCGGGTTTATCTGGCGCCAATGGATTATTTTCTTTGGGCTTTTCAAAAAATTCCGTTAATGCCAATTTGAACAGCAGATGTTCAATATACTAAAAAATGGTAATCAAAGAGTGAGTATATTATTCGAGAATGTTATGCTCAATATAGACAAATGGGAATATTTTATGAGAATCTGTTTAGATAAACAGTGTCGCCACTCGAGAGACAGGATTGACAGAGTCCAATGGGGTTCGTCAGTCTGTGCGGTGTGTAGGCGCTTTGTTATTCGTAGTTCGTACTTTCGTAGTGCTGAGGCGCTGACCGACTGGTGAAATTGCAAATGGCCGTTCAGTGGTCGGGAAATAGCTGATAACGAGCGTACTTTTTTTTTTAAATTACACTTTTCTTTAAAAAGATTTGTTAGTTTCCTGTTATGAAGTATTTGAGGCTCGAAGAAGGGAAATCAACGAGGATGGAGAGCAGCCTTTTACACGTAGCTCGCCTCGATCCGATTTTCCTATGACTGGTCAGGTTAACGGTTGATAAATTTGATATATGTAGTTTATTTAATAAATTCTCGATCCCGTTTATCGTGAGAGTTTCGACTGCGACATGTTCCTCATTGGCTTTTTCGTCACAGAGAGTTTTTAAACATCACGAAAAGAATGTTAGAACAAACAAACTCGTCATCCTTGTATTACCAGCTAAGCTTGACGAGTAATTATTTTGACTTAATAAAATTACACTTTTTCTATTATCTTACCTCGATTATTGTTTTTATAGTCGAATGTGCCCATTTGAGAGTTGGAACGAGCTTTTTGAAGCCGAATCCCTACGTGGAAATTTCTGTCGACGATAAAACACCGAGGAAGACCGAAATTGTCAAATGTACATACCAACCTAAGTGGAACGAACAGTTCACTCTGTAAGTATTCCTTTTATTTTTTAATTTCTTTTCCAGTTAAACCAAACGGAGATAGATGGTTATCTTATATTATTAATATTTGGCTTCAATATTCGTTGAGAAACCTGGCTTCTAAGGTGCATCTTGTTGGAGTAAATGGGTTCAAAATGCAGTATGTTGAGTGCCGTTTTTGAAAAATTGTGATTCGTTTGGGGTAAAAATATGCAGATAGTGTCTTAGGCTAAAATATTGTTGTCTGAAAACTAATGAAGGTTTTCATGTTTTCTTTCAATTACCCCTCTTTATAATAAACTGTTTACATTTGATGGATTATTCTGTTGTATGAATGTCAACACATTTTAATCTTCTTTCAATGTTATCTCGGTAGCATTTTTGTACTTAGGAATAATTTAGTCTTTACTAAGATGTCAATGTGTGATTTTCGAATCTTTTCATGAGTTTAAACTCAGTCAGAACAGTGCCAAAACAGCTAGAAACAGTGTGTGTGAGGACAATGTTCAGAGATGGTTTAAAAAATTTCAAGAGGGAGACTGAAGACAAAGAAATCATGGAAGGAATTTTTCCTAGATGATGGTGTTATGCAAGCTATGTTGGAAGAAAATCCCAGAACAACTGTTCGAGAATCTTTCAGTCTGAAAATCGACTGTCGCCGACCATCTTAAGGCAATTAGAATTGTGAAAAAACTCAAGTTTCCTTATGCATTAAACCACTGCCAAAAAAATTATTGTTATGAAGTTTGTGCTACACTTGTTTGTCGAAACAGAAACAAACCTTTTCTAGATGAAATTGTTACTTGTGATGAAAAGTAGATTCTCTAATAAATATCAGAATAACAGCAGACGGACAGTGGATCTGGACAGTGGCTTGACAAAGGAGAAGCAGCACCTCATTTTCCAAAAGTCCCCTACTCATCAAAAAAGGTGATGGCGACTCTTTGGTGGGCTTCATTTGGGTTGATTTACTGCTGTTTCTTAAATCCTGGTTAAACAAGCGGAAAAGTATTGCTCTCAAATGAAGCAATGCACCAGAAATTGGTATTATTGATGCCACCTTTGGTCAGTCAGAAAAGGCTAATTCTGTTAGATGACAATGCTTGGCCCCATGCCTCACATGTTGGCAACATGATTTGGTTATGAGGTTCTCACCCTTCATCAGATCTCTTGCCTCTGAACTAAAGGGCTGTTGTGATAGCTACATAGCAAGGGTTCATGTAATAAACTAATCCTTAGAAAGAAAATATTCCAACAAACACATACACATTGGTTTTATTTACATGAATGTATTATGGTCAGTTTACCCAAATGTGTCAAGCCCATGGGAGTGTTATGTTTCCAAGTAAGAATGTCTGTGTACTTCTGCTGATTGATTGTAATTTCAAGTGGTTGCTGCACCGTACCCTTTAAGAGCTATTGTATTCCTGTGCTTTTATGTTGGTGAGTCCTAATTCATCGAAACATTTGATTATTTGACTCAGTTTAATAGTTGTAATTTTTTTCAAAGCTGTAGGCCGTAAAAAATTGTTTCCACTTTACAGTGAAGCACCATAATGTGATGTACTAGGTGGTTTGGGGTATCTTATGGCTCTGCAGAAACTTTTCACACGATGTTAGTTGGTAGATGCCATTTTTTTGCCAGATATCCTGCATAAGCTCTTTTCTCTTATAAATTCTTGAAACATCAAAATAAACAATTTATTTATAACTTGGTTAAATACCTTTAGTAATGCTGGAAATTTTAAATGTTTTATCAGTTTAAGTTGTGTATCTCTCATCAGATCATGAATGACCTAAAATCATTTTAGTATATATTACATAATTATTTGTAATGTTTACCTTCTTTTAGTGTATATTCCACCTTTCCTCCAATTGCTTGATCTTCAACACGATCATGATTATGACCTTTTTAAGAAAGAACTTTAATCACATTTATGTATTTTCTAACACATCAACAACAATATTAAACCATCTGAAATCTGATGGTCTGAATTTTTACAATTTTTTATAATTGTTGCACAGGGTTGTGTAATAAACTGATTTTGGACCAAATGTAGATATTGCACACACATTATTATTGTTTACCAAAATGTGTCAAATTAGTGTAACTACTTTTTTTTATTTTTCTCAACAAATTATACTATGGTAGTATATCAGTTTTCAAACGTATGTCACATATTACAAAAATACTTGAGACGTATGAACCAACCACGTAAACATAAAAATACGAATTAGAGACTCTTTGTTCAAAGCATTATTAATATAATTGTTTAAAAATCTATCTAACGAAAATACAGTTCATGGTTGAATGTGATAAATGCATTTTCTAAAAGTTGTATAAAATAATACCTCACAATTTATTGTAATTAACCCATTTCTAAACCTTAATATATAAATTTAGAAATTTATAGTTTAATAAATAGCTCAATTACTTATTATAAGAATAATTTGAGGGGCGTCAATGGCCACAAAGGTTTAGGCGTTGACATGGCACTCATCACTGTAAGGTAAAGGTTCCGGGTTCGAATCCAGCGGCCCTGCATTACTAACCTGCAACAAATGGGCTTTTTTTCCGTCACCCCCCGAGGGTTGATATAACCTATGTTGTTGCGAACCATCGTTAAAAAAAAAAAAAAAGGATAATTTGGTATGTATAGTAAAACAAAAAAATGTATTATTATCATTATTTTTTAATACTGAGCAATACTATACACTATTGTAGCAAATTATTGCCAGTTCAATTAAATAATTAATTAAACTACAGGTAAATTGCAGAAAGTAGGATTTCTTAACACATAACTTGCCATGAATAGAATACAATCAAATTGTTAAACCTAGTTAACTGTTAATGTTTACAAGTATTTATTTATTTGTGGGGATGCCGTTGGGCACAAAATGCATTGTAAGCTCTCAAAAATGGAGCCAGGAAGCAGAACAATAACTGTGCTCCAGGGGAACTCCAGTCCCCGGTATCTACCAAAATAATAAAAATAAATAAATAAATAAAACAAATAAATAAATAAATAATAAAAAAATGATCTTCTGGTAGTAGGGATTTAGCTTGTTTTTGTGAAATGCTCTGTTTTTATTAACGAGCCCCTCTATATGTAATCCATTACTATAACTGCTCAATTATTTTATATTGTATCAATAAAATATTTTATTTCCTAAATATTAATAAATAATATTTAAAAAATATGTATTGAATTGCTACTTAAGGTGTGTATGTTGCAGGTTAGTAACACCTTACTCGAACATCCAATTTAGGCTACTTAACCATAGCACATTCCGTAAAGATGTCACCCTTGGGGAAAAGAAGTTAAGCCTTTTTGATGTTTTAACACATTATAATGGCAAATGTGAGCACATTGAACTTACAATGGACCTCATGTATGAAAAACATGAGACCAGGTGCAAAGTTGGAGAACTCATAGCACTACTTCATGGTATGAAAGTTGACATGACAAATATAAATCCCCCCCAGGACGGTACTCCAAATTCTACTTCATCAGATGGTAAATATTTCATTTTTATATTAAATTATATTATAAGAAAAATATATTGGGTAAAGTATGATAGATATTCATTGTATAAATATGGTATTGATAACAGGTACAAAATACTCATAGTATGAGATAAAAAACATTGTTTTAATAAACTGACATTTCAACCCAGCATTTAAACTCAATACATTATTTTAATCAATAAATTATTATTAAGTACTTATTTGTATGATAGGTCATTGATTTGTAATTGCAGTGGATATCGTTTACAACATGCAGGTTTTGGTAAGTTGTAGCCAATGTCTACTGTATCCAATACATCATTTGCAATGTACATGTATGCTATATCCGATATGTAGCAATACTAGTGGATGTGTTGCAGAAGATGGCAGACAATAATAACCCAAACATAACGTATGTACATATGTATGGATTGAATGAAACAAAAAAACTTCACAGAGTCTGTCATAGGCGGTACAGTTATACGCTCTTTGGACAATTTTATCCCTTACATTTCAGAGGGATGTCAGGAGTCAGCCGGGAAACCAACCCTGTCTCATCAGCTTTATTAATTTACTTGAACCATTGCAACAATGCACTTTTCAGTTCATGAAGTTTCGAAGTACGAACTCGCTTGAGCTTTTCACTTATATTAAATTGAGTGACGATCTTGTCTCGCTGTTTCCACATGCTAGAAATGGTTGAGTGAGCCGAGTGACATTCATGCGCAAGAGATGAGAACGAGTCACCAGATTCGATGCGGCACACAAGGCAGAATTATTCCTCAATTGTGAACTGTTTATGAGGCATCTTTCTGCTTTGAGAGTCAGACTAACACTAAGTTATCAGTTCAATACACAATGGATTGGGATGAATAGATTTGTATGTACATTGTACAGACAGGGCCGAAGTGAAGGTGACCCAGAGCTGTACCTGCTATCCCCCCCCCCGACCCTTAAAAGTGTACACTCTAATCGATGAGTATGTTGTAAATAATGTTAATGTAATTTTTCCTATATCATTTCACAGTACTGGAGATTTTGTAAGCTTTATCCGGTTGTTCGTTCTATCTGGTGTTGTTGAAAACGATATCCACTGTACATAGTAGCCATTGATTGATCCTTTTTTTACACACATAGGAAGATTAGGGGTTCACATTTCATAATACCAACAGGTGAATGTATCAGTTCATAAAGAAAATACGTCTTGAACAGACCACTGTAAATGGTATATTTTCTTTCTCATAGCATCAAACCCATAATTGATACATGCTTATTGTAGGAATTTGAGCTCGGTGCTAAGGCAGCCATAGCAGCTTGCAAAAATTGCACTGTGCTCGGTAATAAAACTATAAGTGAGTGTATTGCCCAAAATTGCAATTCCAACTATCACAGGGGGTCGTACTGACCTGATATAGTCTATCATTATAATGATGCTGTTGTAGGAGCGTCGGTGGCCGCAACGGTTTAGGTGTTGACATGGCGCTCATCACTGTAAGGTAAAGGTCCTAGGTTCGAATCCAGCGGCCCTGCATTCGAACCCGACATACTTACAAATGGGCTTTTTTTTTAAAACACCAGCACCCCGAGGGTTGATATAACCTCTGCTGTTGCGAACCCTCGTAAAATAAAAATTATAAAAAAAATGATGCTGTTGGCTTCATACCATAGTGTGTATGTATTGTGGAAATACAGTGTGTATGTATTGTGGAAATACCATAATTTTGCGTGTTGGATTTTATATACAGTTATTAAAATGTGTGAAAAATATGTCTTAATGATCTATAAAAAAAAAGGTACTAGATAATATTTGTAATATATAAAGATAGTTGTTATGAAATCATTATAATTTATATTTAGAAAAAAGAGGGAAATTTAAAAGATTGGTTGAGATTCGATCGAAGTCACTATAGCTCAAATGGTTAGAGCCGAAGGTCAAGGGTTCGAATCCCACTCCTGACAGTATCTTTTTCATCTCAACCAAGACCTTAGATTAAAAGTATAATTAATTAAAATAATTAATATAGTCAATTATGACTACTAAATACATATATGGAATAATTTATATTGTTTATTTAAATCATTTATGCCCTTGTACTTAATACTTCATTGTCTCATAGATAGGCAAAATTGTGTGTAAATCTTTTATTTTATTGTATTGTGTTATTTACCAGGAGTCCGAAGTGGATCCGGGGGAAATGGGGAGTCCAGGGCGGTTATAAATGGTGGTATTCGGGCTAGAAACAGACCACCAGAAATTACAACAGGAGCAAATATTTTAAGCCCACATACTTCTAGTTCACATTCTAATTCACCTGGTAATTTATTTATTCATTAATTCGGTATTTTTCAGTTTTGCATTCTTCTCTTCACCATATTATTTTTATTTAAAGCAAGTCCTAGCAGTGGCCACATTGGTCCTTCTGGAAGTTTGACTTCTGCAACAAATGGAGCCATTTTAAATAGTCCTGCAGCTGTGAATGGTAACGGGAGCACTGAAATTTCAAGACAAGGAGCATCAAACATTACTCCAGAAGAGCCACTGCCTGCGGGGTGAGTAATTCTAATTTTTTAATATTTACAAAAAGTAGCCTTTTGCCATAACCAGTTGATTATATTGTAGCTCATGAACTAGACTGCACTTCCAACATTTAATCTACAAATTTTTTAAAGCTCTTTGAATTGCACCTTTCTTATTGCCCAATATATCTGCTGCTTTTTGTAAAGAAAATTGGAATATGCTTTTATGAAAAAGAATACTTCTAGTTCCATATCTAACATCTGAATTCACTAAAGGAGGATATCGAATTTGAAAGGACCAGATTGGTTCTAACCTTTGGGCTTTTCTTATACTATTATACAATTAGTTTAAACAATTAACAAATCTAAACATTTATTTACGATATTCGAAATTATGTCTTCAGCCATAGTAAATATATGAGTTTTGCTTTGAAGAGTGAACAAGATCTTTTACCTGACCATTCTACATTACAATTATCTGACAGATTAAAGGCAAAACAAAGGCAGAACATCATATTAAAAAAATATATATATTTAAATTACTTGACCTAGTATCACCAAAAAATGTTTCATTGGTCACCCCATCATGAGTCTCTCATATAGTAAATAAATAAACAGTTCATAGTCTCTCTTTGTAATATAGTAAATAAATTTTCTATTTCATAATGATAGTGGTTATGAATGAATAGTGCAATGATTAATTATATTGAATAATTTTGAGTTCTACAAGTTGTAGCGATAACATTTTATTTAGTTGGAAAAGCTTTTTTTTCATTAATGTTTAAACATTAGCCAAAAATAATTTGTTGAATTCGGTCAAACCGCTCCTCATGAATCCAACAAATTATTAGACAACCAGTCACTAAAAAAACACACATAGTCAAAAAATACACTAGTAGCACATGGCCATGAAAAACTAAAAATACCATTAGCAACCAATCTCAAAACCATGGTCAGAGCACTGACTAAACAATCATGGTTAAACAAATTCATAGAAATATTTTTGACTTTCCACCTTCCACCATGGATGCACATGGTATGTCACTTCACTGCCTAGTGTAAATCGGCCTAAAAAGTGTCCCTCTGAAAAGAGGAATCATTGTCATCAATCTTAGAATAGGCCATACAATGTTTACACACTTTTGGGTCAATAATCATGTATGTCTGTCCTGGAGTGAAGAAGCTTGATGTGTCCTTACCTAGTATAAGAATTGTGCTTGAGATAGAAGCAAATCTTTACTTTTTGGAAATACTATTATTTTATTATTCTATTATATTTGGAAAATGGAATCCACTCCTAATGCAAATCTTTAAGCTACTGTATTGATTTTAGGAGGAAACAAGGCTGTTCTTCAACTTCAAAGAAGCTTTAGGCTTTTTTTTTATTAGAACTTTATATTAACACATTTGTTACAGTCATTGTTCTGGAACTACACTAGACCCTTTCCCATATACAGACATTCATAAAGAAATTAATGTATAATATTGTTCTTGTGTTTGTTATTAAAGATTTTATTATTATTATTGAAGCTTGTTGTAGGGTGTTCGGGGCACTTTTAGAATTGAATCGGTGTCTCAGGCCTTTAGTATTGCTTTTGCAACACTGTTTTTAGATTTGACCTTTTGGAAAAAAATTTATGATTTTTTAAATTTATTATAAATAAACTTGCTGGATCTTACGAGAGTCTTTACTGATCAGTCCATAACAAACGTGTTAAAAAACAAAAAGTGAAAATTAAGTGAATAATAAGACTGCTGTATGTATAACTCCTCACTCACTTAAACTGTGAATGTTAATTTGTTATATTACACAATCAATTTTTTATCTACTGGTTAGTTATTGAAAACCAAATTGAGTGTACATGTACCTCATTTTTTATTGTTTATTTTTTAGACTGGTGGGGTAGTGGGTAAAACAACTTGAATAAACTTTTATCTTCCTTTGTAGTTGGGAAATGAGGTACGATTTGTATGGACGACGGTACTATGTTGATCATAATTCAAGATCAACATCATGGGAGAGGCCCCAAGCACTACCAAAAGGTTGGGAAATGAGGAGGGACCCAAGAGGGAGAATCTATTATGTGGACCACAACACAAGAACTACTACATGGCAAAGGCCTAATTCTGAAAGACTACAACACTTTCAGCATTGGCAAGGCGAGAGACAGCATGTAGTGCGAGAAGGGAATCAACGGTTCCTATATCCATTACAAGTGAGCTATTAAATTATTTTTAAAGTTCTTTTTATACGTTTTGATTTGACTTGTTTTTATTTTTTATTAGGGTGGGGGTACTGTCAGTGCAGGAGGAACTCCAACGACAGAGGAAGAACAAAGCCTTGGGCCACTGCCTTCAGGCTGGGAAAAGAGAGTGCAACCTGATGGTAGGGTTTATTTTGTCAATCACAAAAATAGAACAACCCAATGGGAAGATCCACGAACTCAAGGGTGAGTTAATATAAAATTAAATTATAACAACATAATTTATTTATTTACGTGCAATAGCCCATATTATTACAATATGTACATGAAACGCAAAGAATATTTAAAACACCAAAAACATTGAAATATTAAACATTGACAATAATAAAATAGTGCCATACAATATATATAATTTTGATACCAATGTTTGAATAAAAAAACAATATTTGGGATTTGACTATATGACTCACTATATCGTGCTTGAAAAAAATACAAGAAAATTTACTTTTAATACTCTCTCCCCTTTTCTGAAGAATAGTGACAAAAGAAGATAAATAAAGATTAAGTAAAATTATTCAAAGGAGTTTAATTTTAATTTAAGGCTTACAAAAAATGGAATGCGGTTTTGCCAGGCCAAAATATATATATAAATAAATAAATAAATAAATAAAAATATATATATATATATATATATATATATAAGAAGTTTTGGCAAAAGCTCTTTCAAACCAAATTTCCAGAGGCACCAAATGATTCGAAGACATGGAATCATCAACACCAAAACATCTTCGATCTAAACCTCTAATCCTATAATACAAATATTAGGATGATTCATCAAACTAGTAGACTAAAGCTCAACAAAAACAAACTACCCATAATTATGCAATGTGCAGTTGGCAAATGTATTCATCCCGGTGGCAATGACTACCTCGTCAAATTAATCATTAATAAACACAATATGTACTATTAATTGATGTATGTGTGAAAAATTGTGTGATATAATTTTTATAATTGTTATTGATTTGCATAAATTAAGATATATAAGATATACAAAATTGTAACAGGTCTCCAATATTTCGCTGATTGTACCTTCATACACTGGTGGTCCATCACTTGTGAGGACAGCAGTTTGGCTGTCAATCTTTTTTTCACATCTTCATTGGGTTTGCTTCACTTTCTCGCTGCAAACTGTAATAGGACAAATTAACTCTGACACAACTTCACAAGCACATTTTTATCAAAAAATTTTATTGGGTAAATACAAAAATCATGGGAAATTAAAACTACAAGTGCAAAGTAAAACAATAGAGGGGTATGAAAATTGGAAACTCAAAGGACTGAAAACGTAATATTAATTTTCAGTTTCTTGAGTTTCTTATATATTTTTAAGCTTTTCTATTTAAAAAAAGTAAAATCAAAGAATTTTTTTTTTTTTTTTTTCACCTCATCAATTGTCTCAGAATCGAGAATGGTTAACAGGACCACAACTGCTTTCTTCTTCTTCATAATCAAAGAAATTCTACATTTTATCATATTAGCATCCAAACTTGTGATCCCCTGCCACTTCATTTTTCTTTTTGATCAAAACTTTAAGAGGAATTTATTTTTTTTTTGTATTTTTTTCTTCTTTTTTTATCCTCATTTTATCCTACTGGTGGGGTACGAGTCTACCCAGGCATTTAACCCCTCGCGTCTTGGTCGCCCACCCTGCATAATATATATCCTCATTGGCTCATCACAGTTACCTACATATCACTCATTTCATCTTCGTCACCGCCCTCTTATCTTCGCTATCAGATTCCATGTCAATATCCGTAGCACTGTTGTGACAGTCGATTTCAATTGCTTCTCCTTCAAATTCCGGATCATCTGATTCAGCATCAATAAAATTGTCATCTAAATGTGGAACTCCTTCCTCTTCATCACTCCTCAATTCCTCCAGGAACCTATGAATATCTTCAGGTTTGCTGTTTTGCTCCCTTAACAAAATAATAAGGAACCCTAAAAACACATGGTGCCCTGTGGAATACCCAAATAATAAGTAGTCTGTACTAGTGAGAGGCTCTCACTCAACTCATGATCTCACAAGCACTGTCATATTTTCATATTAAAAGGCATTAAGGGGTGAGCCAACGGAGCTGCCCTCATAATTAGATTTTATTATACATTCAGCTGTGATGCTTAATGATGATCACTAATTTTATCAAGCCAAAGCCATATCTAAGTTATACTAGGTGGATTTCTCAATATTTTTGTACTAACAACCAACACACTTTTATAGGCAAGAAGTTGGTTGCGATGAACCACCTCTACCACCTGGATGGGAAATTCGCCTTACGGAAGATGGTGTTAGATATTTCGTTGATCATAATACCAGGACTACTACATTCCAAGATCCCCGCCCTGGTGCACCCAAAGGGTATGTAGTTACATGAATCTACTTTTTGCATAGGATAACTAATAGCCACCTTGTGTCTTCATTTTAACCTTCCATACCTTAAATTCCTTTCTGTATTCCAGGAAATCCTTAGCTACAGGAGAGCAAGGCGATTCTTTGTAAGATTTTTTGTTTCAATATTTTATAGTTTTTAATTAATAATATAGGGCTTCACAATATTATTTCCCTATCCTATTTTCCTACCCTCTCTCCCATTTCATTAATAGATTAGTATATTTTAAAATATTGAGGTAGGAAAAAAACTAATTGAAAATGCATTTTGCGCTTGTATAATTTAAAACTCTTTCCTGTTAAATTGACTCATTTGAATAATTTGTTTTAAAATAAGCTTGTCCCTTTTTGCAGTTTAATGTATTAACATATAGTAATTTAAGTGGCTGACAGTGTTGATATTGTCATTTACAGCAAAGAGCTAGAGATTTCATGCTCTCATAAATCTAAGTATTTTTAGTACCATACTTCACTTAATTCATGGATGTTGACACTTTCAAAATAATTATAAAGATAAATTTGCCTTCTTAAAACAAGCGTGGTTGTGAAGTAAATATAGCTATTCTGTTTTCAAAATGCATTTTGCACTTACACCATGCACAGGCACAGATTCATTATTGTACACTTCAACAGTGCAGTCTACACATTGTTTACTCTCAATTTTTGTCTTACTTTGTTCCTTGCTTGCAGTTTAGTTAGATATAAAATTGCTGTATTGAATTATTACAGACCTAAAGGAGTTTATGGTGTCCCTCGGGCTTATGAAAGATCATTTAGGTGGAAACTGTCTCAGTTCCGTTACCTCTGCCAAAGCAATGTACTTCCAAGTCACATTAAAATAACAGTAACCAGACAAACACTTTTTGAAGACTCATATCATCAGGTTATGAGGCTACCAGCATACGAATTGAGGAGAAGGCTATATATAATATTCCGAGGCGAGGAAGGATTGGATTATGGTGGTGTTTCAAGGTTAGTGGTTCTTTTGTGTGCTTTTAGTAAAAGTTATTGTATATTTGTTTGTTTTTTAGGGAATGGTTTTTCTTATTATCCCATGAAGTACTGAATCCTATGTATTGTCTATTCGAATATGCCAATAAAAATAATTATAGTTTACAAATCAACCCAGCATCTTACGTGAACCCAGATCATCTTCTTTACTTCAAATTTATAGGAAGGTTTATAGCTATGGTAAGTGCTTTATTTTCACCTTCTGAATTTATGTTAATTTCAAGTGTAATATTTGTTGATTGTAACGAGCAATTATTTTTCTTAATGCAGAAGCCCTGATAATTCAAACCTCCCATTAAAACTTTGAATATTTTACAACCATAAACCCTGTTACTGAGATGACGTTATATTATTTAATTTACTAATATTGATTATGGGGTTACCGGTCGCATTATGTTCAATATGACTGACCTTCAAGGGAGCCATTTATTCTAACGAAGCTAAAGAACATTTTTCAATATGGGTAGCATCTTTCAGCCACAAGAATTCACAAAATTACAAAATCTTATCCAATCTACTATCAATGTATAAGATTTATGTGTGCCTTGCTTACATTAATTTAAAAAAATCCATTTCCTATTCCTCTAGAGTAGGGAGATTTCAATGTAATTAAGGCCTAGGTTAATAATTATGTTTTGTTGAAATTTTTAGTCTACTTTAAACATTTATAAAAAATGTTGGTATTAATACAATTATGGCAGTAACAAAATGAAGCAGACACATTTTGAGTTACTTGATTACATGATCAAAGTGGAGGTGTGTGGGCTGCCTCATTGTTTATGGGCTAAAAGGTACAAAAGTACTACTACTGCCTGATTATTCTCGTATGTTATTGGGAAAAATGCACGTGTTTGTACCTGTTGCTTATTGAATGACAGTAAAAAGAGATACGACAAAGTGGACATATATATGCAAGTTGCAAAATTGTATTAACTAACTTCAAACCCAATTTGAAAAGAGGAAACATTCCAGAAGTTCATTGCCTTTTCTAAGAAGTTTATTATCCTGCGATTTATCTTTTACAAAGCTAGTATTTCCATTAGCCAACTATGTGGCACCGGATCAAATGTCTTGGCTTAGTCTATCCAGGCTACTGATAAGTTACAGCTTTTGTTTGTTGCCTGTCCAGACAAAAAATGTGTTTAATACAAGCAGCTCCTTGCAGCCTCTTGCTCTCTTTTACATCCTTACATACATTACAGCCAAAATCTTGTTGTCTCTCACATGCTTTTTTTTTTTTTTTTTTCCAGAGTATAAAAGGTTTATTTAACTTTTGTCTTAATTTTTTTTTTTTATTTTTTTTTTACGACGGTTCGCAACAGCAGAGGTCATATAATCCCTCAGGGTGCCTGTGTTTTTGAAAAAAAGCCCATTTGTAAGTATGTCGGGTTTGAATGCAGGGCTGCTGGATTCGAACCTGGGACCTTTACCTTACAGTGATGAGCGCCGCCGTGTCAACCACTAAACCTTGTGGCCACCGGCACCCCAATTTTTATGCTCATTATTGACGTAAGGATTTTATAGACTCAATTAGGATATGTGATCGGTGTGTAATCTTTGGGCTTAAGAGCTCCACTTTTTTGTGTTTTTTTTGGATCGTGTCTATAAAAACTGTCTGGAGGTTCTTGGTTGTTTTGTATGAAGTTGTTATATATAAAAAAGGGTGAGTAATGGGTGTACTGCAGGAAAATACTTCCATCAGAAGTTTTGGATTCCATCCGTGCCAACAGTTTTTCAGTTATGAGTCTCGTTAGTGATGCCTGACTTAGTAATGGACATGTCTAGAACACCCTTTGTTCAATCTTCATGTCTTGCTTGATCCCATAACCCTCTCTATCATATTCTACATATTTGCCTCATAACTTTTTCCAAAAGCGAACCATATTTTCTTTACTTGGGTAAACTGTGTTAGGACGTGATTCAGTTGCTTGTAGAACATTCTCTCATTTCCTCAGTTAATTATACAATTATTATTTTTTCGAAATGAAAAATTTGTGACACAGATGGGATTCGAACCCACGACTTTAGGCTATTTACGGCGCTGCTCTACCACTTGAGTTACACTGACTTTGCCCATGCCACAAACTTCTTATTTCGACTCCCTGTTTATTTCAATTCTTTCTTTCCCCCTTAATAGTCTTGTTTGAGGACTTTATAGTTTCTGCCTCTGTGTTTATTATTATTATTCATTTGCCATTGACATTTTACAATTTGTTTTTCAGGCCCTTTATCATGGAAGGTTTATATATTCAGGTTTTACAATGCCATTTTACAAGCGGATGCTAAATAAAAAGTTGACAATGAAGGATATTGAGTCAATTGACCCTGAGTTTTATAACTCTCTTGTCTGGATAAGAGAAAACAATATTGACGACTGCGGGCTTGAAATGTTCTTCAGTGTTGATTTTGAGATTCTGGGGCAAGTGATTCATCATGAGTTGAAGGAGGCAGGTGACAAGATAAGAGTGGATGAGACAAACAAGGAAGAATATTTGAGGCTGATGACTGAGTGGAGAATGACACGTGGTATAGAAGATCAGACAAAAGCTTTCCTTGATGGCTTTAATGAAGTCGTTCCTCTTGAATGGCTAAAGTATTTTGACGAACGTGAATTGGAACTTATGCTCTGTGGTATGCAAGAGGTGGATGTTGAAGATTGGCAGAGAAACACAATCTACCGGCATTATACTAGAAACAGTAAACAAGTCCTTTGGTTTTGGCAGGTGAGAATTTTTTACTATTTTTTTTCTAATGTGTATAATATATTCAACCATAACCATTGAATTTAGAAAATTTAATTATGTAAACTTAAGTATGATTGGTTCATCGGTTTAAAAGTTACTGCTGGTTCTCTTACAACAAGTTACTGAATTTTTGTAAATTATAGTTTTATTCACAGAATTCCTCCCAAAACCTAAATTCAAGGTTGACAACTTATCAAAAAGCAGGGTTTCCAAACTTTATATTAATGATTGTGATATTAAATAGATAGGACAAAATGGTAGAGAAATTAAAACGAGAGTTAAAACACACTTGCCTAAACCAAACCAATTTTCTGAATTTAAAGACCATCTAAATGAAACAAAACTCAATTTCAATTTAAATACAACACTGTTACAGTTTCAACAAAAATAGAGAACTAGATTGGTTTTTAGAAATTTTAAATAAAACATGTAAATTTTATGAGTAGAACCATCAGAAGCAATCTACAAGCAGCAAGTTAGCAAGTTACTGGTGTACTCACTCTGCCGTAAAATTACCATTGGTCGGTTCATTGTTTACATTCGTAAAGCGTTAATAATAGATCTATTAACACGGTATTTTTCTGTAGATATAAAAAATCACAACACTGTGGATCTATGAATAGATAACCTTCTTCCATCTTGGCCTTGCGGTTTGTTGATGCAAGATGGTCATGACATATCTTTTAAAATATAATAAATATAATGTGGATAATAATAAATTTAATACGATATAAGATGCTGATGCTCGGTGTAAAGCCCAAATATATGTAAATAAGTAATGTATTTACTTTTTATTTAAAAAAAAAGCCTGGAAATATTTTCTCACATAAACGAATAAATTATTTGTTTATTAGGGCTACATTATCAGAGAAACAATTAAACATAATTTTGTTTATATTTCATGTGTTGGTGATACATTCGTTACGAAATTCTCTACAATTTTTTCAAATCAAATCAATTTTTTTTTAATACTACATAAAAATAAAAACGCACAAAGATCACAAAGAAGCGTGTGAATATTTTCTTCAAATTGAATGAATCTTAAAGATGCTTTAAATCTTTCATTGGGAGAAATAATCTTTCTTTTTCAAGTTCGACACGAATTGGAGCCTTTTCTTAAATAATTTCTCTAGTTGTCACCTCAAGTTCATTGCATAGCTCCAGAATAATCTGATATGAAAAAATTGTCCTCTTTTTAATAGGCAATCTCTTACCTTCGTAATATGGATTATTTTTTCCTCTAAAATAGTGTTAGGGCAATTACAATTTCCTCCATATTTGTGTATAAATAATAAATTATAAACAAATAAATATTTAGTAGTATAAAGCTTTATTAACAAAATCCAGCAAAAATTTAAAATTGAACTGATGTGAAAAAGGAAGAAAAAGCGTTAACAACTGATAAAGCGGACTTATTTTGATCCATTTTATGTGACTGATAAGACGTAGCGTGTAACTCTGGCTTTGCATGCACGTTGAAAGCCAAGATGTGCACTGTTAACAATTAAGGTTTTTAGTTGAGATAAAAAAGTCAGTGCCATGAGTGTGGCATTTCATTTGTCACCAAGAATCAAATAAATTACACAACATTTGAAAAGTGGCAAAAAGAAGGGAAAATTCAAAAGGTGGGGTTGAGATGGGAAGTTAGTGTCCGAGTGGTAGTCACGGTAGCTCGCTCAAGTGGTAGAGTAGGGTAGAGTAGTGGCATATCTAGCCGAAGGTCGTGGGTTCGAATCCCGCTCGTGACACTGACTTTTTTATCTCAGCTAAAAACCTTAATTAATTAAAAGATATTAATTGGTCAATCGGACCACGAAAACTAGTGAATTGCATAATGTATTTTAAACAAATATTTAGTTTAAAAGTTTTTTTTTTTATTATATATTACCTCTTGAAACTTAGGCCAGAAAATATATAATTGAGAAAAAACTGGGTTTGTATAAGTAGAAAACATCTCAAATATAATATAAAATGCATGATTTTTTAAAAATCTTTTAAATCATTCTTTAATTGGTACATGAACAGATACCCTTCTGCAATGGACTAAACCATTTTGTTGTTACATTCCCATTGTAGAGAGGTCTCACTTTTACGTATTTCTTTTTACTTTACAATTGATGTATTAAAATTTATTTACAGTTTGTCAGGCAGACAGATAGTGAGAAGAGAGCAAGATTGCTTCAGTTTGTTACCGGGACATGTCGAGTTCCAGTTGGTGGTTTTGCTGAGCTCATGGGTATTTTTCTCTTAAATAGCTAACTTGGTTTTATCCAATCACATTCGTTTTGTTGTTTAGGATCAAATGGTCCCCAGAGGTTCTGCATTGAAAAAGTCGGTAAAGAGACTTGGCTTCCCAGATCGCATACTTGTTTCAACCGGCTTGATCTTCCTCCTTACAAATCTTACGATCAACTTGTTGAAAAACTGAACTACGCCATTGAAGAGACAGAAGGGTTTGGCCAGGAATAACGTTCCCTTACTACTAAACTAGGTTTTGTAAATAAAATTAAAAAGAACACGGTTCATCAGTTTGTACATAAACATCATTATTGGAAGCAAATGAATTATTAAAGGGAAAAAATGTTTATTATGTTCAAAAGTTCAATATTTTTATTTCATGGTTAAATGTTAATTATCATCTAGAACAGGAGCTGGAAGTAAGTAAAGGGACAGTTATTACAGTTTATGTAATGTGAAACCTAACACACTACTGAGAGATTAGTGTATATTTCTGTGTATAGCATGTAATTAATTTGATGAAAAATATTTGTTCACATGAAAACTATATATAATTACTTTATAAAAGGTAAAAAGATATTATTCACATATACAATTTGTCTATAATGTAAAAATAAAACTTCATTGTATATTTTGAAAATAGTAGTTAGTCCAACCAAAGTTTGGTGAATCTTAAATGTATAGTTAGTTATTAAATAAATATTTTTGGTTTACGTTAAGTCACAAAATAAAGTATGTATATTCCCACCCTTTATAATCAACCATGATCATTACCAAAAATGAGTGTATTTTTTCTTCAAAGAAGTGAAATGAAATTATTCTTTCATTATATTAAATTTTAAAAAAAAAACTTCATTTAAATTAATCTTACTAGTTACAAGCATCAACATTTTAAAACATGTTTTTTTCTATTGACGTTTTTTCCATGTTTAAAACTGATAACACTGTTTTTTTAATAGCCATGATTAGGGTTTGATTTGTTTGGGCTGTGTTAAATAATACGACACTAAATACAACTTTAACGAATCACAAATATTTTTGAATGTATTATGTATGTGATGTACGAACAGTAATTCATAAGTACATAAAGAAGATTCTTTATCACTTTACATATGTCAACAAATAATACATATTAACAGACCTACTATAAATAAAATAAGAAACAATTGTAGTGGACTTAGGATGGATAAAAGGACATGTATATAACAATGAGTAATAATAAGATTAACGTCAGTGGGTAGGATCATCGGAGAGGCTCTTGCAAGTCAAGAGCACGACCTATAGAGGGCCTCAGAGAACCTGAGTAGGAGACCAGGGATTGTCCTCACCTGAGGACTGGCCATATGCGGTTGACATACAGGCACCTGCTTTTGGGCCAAAGCCCTTGCAGGTGCCCCTTATGCAGAGAAAGGTTGCTCGATGTGTCCCACATAATAGAGGGGTGTCATGCCTTGGCTCTGTACAGAGTGTGTGTAGTTATGCCACTGAATTTAAGAATGGTTCTCGATCAAGGTAGCGTGTTTCACGGTCCCCTGTTCAGCTTTTCAGGGGGATTGGGAAGTTTTTGTGTTTTGTATGAGTGTATTTATTAGAGTGAATGGGGAGGGGCTGATGGTAAAATAGCATCCCCATCACCCCTTGAGCTGTGTATGTGACGGGCCAATGGTGGAATACTTATAAAAGTACCCCATCGACCCCAATCTAGATTGTTTTGTTGTTCTATTTATGTTGATAGAGGAATATTGAGCACTCCATATACAAAATAGAATGCAATGTATATAAATGAATGTGATAAAAAAAAAAAAAAAGGAAAATTCAAAAGGTGGAGTTGAGATGGGAAGTTAGTGTCCGAGTGGATCGACATCATGATATCTCAAGTAGTAGAGCAGCGGCGTATTTAGCCAAAGATCGTGGGTTCGAATCACGCTCGTGACACTGACTTTTCATCTCAATCAAAACCTTAATTAATTGAAAATTATTAATTATATCGTCGCGGCTGTTGAAGACAAGACTTTTCACAATACTTAGTAATGATATGGGAAGCTTTCATCCTCTACATGCAGAAGTGGGTGGATGTCTCGATTACAGGAATTACGTTCTTAAGTTTTGTCTCACTCTGTTGATGGACCACAATGTCAAATTGGCCGTTTTCAGTGATGAAAACTTTATATTGCCGTATTTATCAGACATTTCCATTAAAATGAATGAGATGAGTCTTTCTTATCAAGAGAAGAGTATCACAACTTTCAATGTTGATGACAAAAGAAAAATCTAGTTTTGGGTTGAATCTGTTGAGAAGGAAGAGGCGGTGTTTTCCCATGTTAAATATTAAAAAAAAAAAAGCTTGTGAATATTGATTGATGAAATTGTGAACACCTTCAAAGTTTGAGGATGTCCTATTACTTACCAACAGCGTGAGTTACTGCTATACTACTTCGAGACAGCTGCAAGACCATGAATGGGTGGTCAAACCGTTTTCTGTTCCAACAAAGCCAACCAGACTATCTTCAAGCGAATACGAATTTTGATAGACAATACTTCTACTTGAAATCTACTTTTGAGTCTGATACTTATGTCCATTTTTGGCTCTGTATGAAAAGCAAAAAATTTCAACCGCTAGTTGGAAAAGCAAAACGTGTGCTTCCATTTGCCACAACTTACCTATACAAATCCGCATTTTCTATCTATACAGCCACCAACTGAATACAAAAACTGACTAGATGCTGAACTGGTCATTTGTCTCCAGCTACCAAAAATTAAAACCAACATATTCAAATTGTGCAGATTAAAACAACCATATTCTTCCTATTAATTCATTAATCAGACATTTTGAAAGTATTACTTTTGAAACTGGCTCGAGTTTTACCTAACTATTGATTCCATTCTGTTCAATGTTTGTTACAAATTTTGTATATAAATTTTTAACTTGGTTCTTGGTCGAAATGAAAAAGTTAGTGTCATGAGCGGGATTCGAACCCACAACCTTTGGCTGGAGAATGGCAAAAAGAAAGAAAATTTGACAGGTTGTAGGTTGAGATGAGGAGTCGACGTCCAAGTGGATCGAAGTCACAATAGCTCAAGTGGTTAAAGTAGCAGCTTATTAGCCGAAGTTTCGAATCCCACTTGTGATGCTAAACTTTTTTATCTCAGCCAAGACATATAAAAAGAATAATTAATATGGTCAAGTATGACCACTAGACGCTGGATTTTATTTTGTGAAATGGGTCCTCTGGCTAAAAAGTTTGGGAAGCCCTGTTCTAGAGACATGTCACATTGACACGCAATTAGAACTAGCAGCACTTAAATATAAAAATATTCCACTTAAATATAAAATATAGGCTTACTCATCATTCTTCGCTGAATCACTGAAGTAGACATCTTATTTTCATTTATTTCTAAAAAAAATACTAAAGAGAATTTGAACTAAATTAAAGGTCATACAAATTAAAAACTAGGTCCCAATAATTAAAAACTATGTATTTTTCTATATGTACAATATATTTCAAAGAGAAAAAGACAACACAGAGATATAATGGTCAGTTATAACGTTTTATTTGAAATACATGTTTTTAAAGATGGAAAAAATAGGCCAATGTCTGCTCTGCCCTTCATCAGCTGGACGAAAGTTTGTATTTATGCCATTACTTCCCCACTGAGCCTCAAATTCACCAATACTCTCTAAGAAGAAAAACAAAATAAATTTTTTATTACAGTTTTACTTTAATACTAAAAATACCTTTATCCATGTTAACAAATTCCTCTTTCTTCTCGACCAAACCTTCTCTACTTGTGACAGTGATGACTGTGTGTTTCTTATCTCCAATCTGCCTTGTAACTGTCACCTCTTCACTACCATCACTTTTCTTTATAGTTTTAAAATGTTCTAAAGTCTAAAAAAAAATATTTTTTTCAAACTATCTGATAACTTGCAGAAAAAAAAAAAACAATTAATTTACCCCATTAGGTCTTGTGACTGAGCGTGAAATTACACTTTGGCCAAAAAAATGCGTAGGATTTAAATGTCTGTTGAACGGGATAACGTCATGTTTATTTGCGTCAGGAATCAAATCAAAAACACTCGAATCAAAGTTTCTGTGGTAATTGAAATCTAAAGTTAGTTTCCTTTTATTGTGAGTTAATTAAATTGGTTTATATGTATTAGTTTATTTAATACAAACCCATCCAAATCAGAATCAATTTTTTGCGATTTCCTGTTCAATTGTCTTTCAAAAGATGGCTTCACAAACTGAGATCGAATTGAGTTTTCCTCCTTATTGGCTGGTGCATAATCATCAGGAAAATGTCTGTCCCCTTTATTCTCCAAATCTAATAAAATACCTTTATTTCAATTTACCTTTTTTGATATTGTGTTTCCAATTAGCCGTAGAATTATTTGCACATTTTCCAATTCAATAGACTCACATTCACACATCCAACATTCGAGTTAATTAAGCAAAGTAACGCAGTAAAAAAATAAATAAATAACACATGAATACATAAATAATTAAATTAAATTAAATAATAAACTGCTAATATTATCACTAATTCTTGGACTAAAGTTTTTATCCTACAGCTATGAATAAATTCTATGAAGTCGGTATATTTTGGTCATCTTTTTGGAAAATTAAGGATTTGTTAGCTTATTGGTTTTGCAATGGCTTTCATTGAATTTACTCTGTCAAACCAAGTCCTTCTCTCTTCCAAATTTCTATTACAATTCATAATAGTATGTTCCATATCTTGAACTGCATGGCATGTTTCACAAAATTAGTCCTTAGCCAAGCAGCCATCAAAGCACTAAGCTCAAATATCATTAGTTCAATGTTGGTGCTGAACTGCAAAACCAAATTAAACATATTATGTACGCCTAATAATAGTACGAGTTGGTCAAGACTTTTCACAATACTACGTGACGATATGGGAAGCCTTCAACATTCCCTGCTTCTCCAGTCTGTCCATTCTGAAGTCTTATTTCTGCTGGTGGACCACAATGTTAAATTGGCCAATGGTTTTCAATGACAAGAAATGGTAATATATACTGTCATATTTATCAGACATTTTCATGAAAATGAATGAGACGAGTCTTTCTTTGCAAGGGAAGAGTATCAAAACTTTCGATGCTGATATCAAAGTTTGCGCCTGCTAAAGAAAAATCCAGCTTTGGTGGAGTGTTTTCATGTGTTACATGATTTTTTAAAAGAAATCCAACTGGAGCTTGCAAACCGCACGTCGATTGCTGAAATATGCGAACACCTTCAAAGTTTGGAGATGCCCTTTAAGCACTACTTTCCAACAGCTCGAGAATACAAGAAGTCACAGGAGCAGGAGTATTCAGTACTCAGAACCCATGGGAAAATACACCAGTATATTCCAAGCTGAGATTCACGCAATCTAGAGATGTACTCCACTCAACCTGAGCAAAGGGTACAAAAATAAGAACATCGATCATGTCAGATAGCCAAGCAGCTATCAAAGCACTAAGCTCAAATATCATTAGTTCAAGGATGGTGCTGAACTGCAAAACCAAACTAAACGTATTAGGTACGCAGAACAAAGTCAGCCTCTGCTGGGCCCAGGACAAATGGGAGTAGAAGGAAATGAGAAAACGGACAACCTTGCAAGGCAAGGAGCTGCCACACCGCTGACAGGACCTGAACCCTTCTGTGGCATAGGAACCCACACTATTAATGAGTATCTCAGACAGAAGGACAAAAAGAAAATGAAGGAACAATGGAATTCACTCACATCCAAAAGAAAAGCATTTACAGGATGTGTCAAAGTAAGCAGGAACAAATTGCGAATCCTAATAGGATATTTAACAGGTCACTGCAAGCCAAATGGACACTTAAAGAAGATTGGAACAGTCCAAGACGGCACATGCAGATTCTGAAAAAAGGCAGAGGAGAACCAACACATCTAACAAACTGCGGTGCTTCACTTGCCCGCAGGAGGAACTGTTTTGGGATGTATAATGTGACCATAGAAGAGCTTCAACCACTGAAACTGGGCCTATTAATCAAGTTTCTTGATGAAATAGACTCACCGATGTGCTTTAGGCAGAGAACGGGAGATACAATAGCTCTTAAAGGGCACAGTATACTACACCCTGAATATTTCATCTAAATTAGTCCTTTATTTTATGTAGCTACAATCCATAAATGTCATGACCGGACCTAAGCCTAATTTTCATTTAAGAGTCTCTTTTTGTCCAGGCTAGTCTATGAAACCAAAGTTTCTTATTTAAATTAGGATTTATTATACTATAAAAAGTTAATTTACCCCTTATAATTGTGATTTGTGTGTGTGTGTGTGTGTGTTCATTTATTCATTCATTCATTCAATTTCATATTCATATACCTCCAAATCCAAAGTCTCCAAATATTTTTAGCATGTCATCCATCTGTTGCTCAAAATATTTATGCATATCAAAGAAATCCCCAGTGAACACACTGAAATGAAACGGACTGGAAGCACTGAAACCTCTGGAAATTATTAAACGTTAATATTACATAAGGAAAAATTGCAATAAAATTAAATATATTAATTAAAGAAAAGAAAATCTATCAACTTGCCAGTGTTTTTTTAAATTTCATTTCACCATATTTTTTCTTATAATTAAGTTGTGCTAATAGATAAATACACTAGTTTTCAAATACAAGTGCATTCCAATGTCTTTTTAATTAGCACCCAAAGCTGAGTGAACCCTTTTAGGTTTCATACCCAGTTTCAGAAAGCCTTCTGTCATGCTATCCCTAGTGTAAGTCTCCCACTGGCATATTTAAAAAAATAAATGAAACAAAAGTTAATTCTTTAAGTTGTAAGTTAATTTTTGTATGAAAAAACAGACCAAAGTAGTCTGGATAAAATATTTAATAGTGACTTCTCTCATCCCAAGATTGGACTACTCTTAAACATTGTTCAACAATCCTTTGATGAATTATTTTTTGCTATAAGATCAAATATGATCCGTTTTATTCAACTCAAAGTTTGTTTACCCCAATTATTTGGTGAAAATAGATGTATCTAAATTTTGTGGAAAAATAGAAAATTGACCGAGTTTATTATCACTTTTTGATTCTGTTGTGCATAATAAATTGTTACCCCCTTACACAGAAATTTCAGTAATTGTTTACAAATTCGCTAGATGAAGACAGGGCAGTTGTATCAAATTTCATTCTCTATGATGACCAGTAAGAGCAAGCATCTAAGCCCTTTGGGAACTTTACCAAAATCAACTACCATTAGCCTCTTTGTGCATTAATCATACTTATAAACTTTTCTCCCTTGCAATTATCTTCTTTCAATGCCTTAGCAAATTATTTATATATCAATTTTTTTTTTTTTTTTTTTGCTGGAGACACTTCTCAAAGATTTCAGACTAGAGCTTGCCTGAAGTGATGTTTATTAATCACTTACAATCATTCTCATGACTGTACTGTGTAAAACTGTAAGGCATCATACCATACCTTGTTACATTCCTGTAATTTTATTTCTCCTAATGACAAAACTTCCTTTTCTCCAAGGTCAAGAATGACTCCGGTTCTGACAAGTGACACCAATCTTCAAGCTTTGTGTGTTTCGGAAAGTTCCCATATTCTGTTAGGTAGAGAGGGGGTCTCATTCAGTACTCAGAGAATTTTTCATCCTGTTCAAGTCCTGGTTGACTCAAGTTCCCAAGTGTTGGCCATTTCAACGTCTCTCGTTCAAAAATTAGAACTTTAGTACGAATTTGAACCAATAAAAATCAGTGAGAATAGGCAGACCAAAGTGACATGTAACTAATAGAAACAAATTGACACAAAAAGACAAAAATCATTGAGAGACAGTAACATAAAATCCAAATATGAAATACACCTCAACCAGAATTACCGTGAATCCTCAACAATTCAAACAAATTGCTCCATGACGACCAAAAACTGAAAATCATATACAGTTAAATCCCGATATATCATATATTCAAAGGGATGATGGATAGTGCAATATATCGTCATGTTCACTACATCAAGAATATGACATATCAAGGGTAAAAATGTTATATGGAAAGTTTTAATTTTATAAGTGTATTGTATGTATGTAAGAAAAGTTTTTTGTATGTACATATATGTTATTTACATAAGCATATATATTTTTGAAAAGATAGATCAATATAAATGATGAATGGTGGAGTGAGTGTGTTGTTCTTACTGTGAGTAGGAACTATCTTTAAAAAAAAATTTTTGTTTGCTTAAACAATTAATTAATTTGAAACATGTGCTGTCCATACTAATTCAATAGTTGAACTGCCCCAAACACATTTTCATATTTTCATCCACATTTGATTCCGCTAAAAAATGACTTCTTTCAGACTGATACTCGAAACTTCTTCTGGTTTTTCGTCTTCTTCACCATCCGCATCGTCTGTTTCGGTTAAAATTTCAATGTCATTAAGCATTCCAGTAACTGCAACATCACCATCAAAATTAATGAACTGAAAAGTGACAGGTTTTTCTTCATTGTGACAAGAGTGCCATTCAATGGAAGCTTGGATTTCATTTTCCAGGTCCATGGCCGATATTTAGGAAACCGCAAGTTCTGAAGCAATTTTTTATTGTGGTTGTCATTGCCTTTGTCCACGCTTTATCAGCAACATTCATTGCAGTAAGCAATTAGCTTTGAGTTGGTAGCATCGGGTGTTACAAACGAAATCTTGGAAACACCCACCACTGGTCACAATGGACCCTTCTGGTCTATGTAAATGGAGCTTGGACCACCCTTATGTTTAATCGGAATTTTGATGCTAAAGTACAAATTGTAAAATGTTCTGTCCATCTTGAAGGCGGAAAAAAATACGTTACACTATGAGGACTGAAATGCATTGGTTTTAAACAATTTAATGAGATTTTTTCAATGGACCACCATTTTCTTATGAAATATGGAGATTTTACTGTATTTACTCATTAAAAAATATCATACATAAAAAGAATACAAACTGAAAGGCACAATTAACAACCAGAAGATTTTTATTTTTTTATATAAATATTTGGTTTAACTAAATTATTATATGTTTATTTAATTTGCACTCATGTAAAGAACCAAAATCTTACTCAATGAGAAAACAAATACACCAAAGAAGAAAGAAAAGGCCAAACGGCTCTTTTTACATTTTATAAAGAAACTATAAAAGTTTTTATTGACCAAATATTATTGACACACAAAGACCAAACCACAAATAATATATTTGACAAAACCAGGGGAACAGACAGAGTAGGATGATTGGAAATAATCAAGGACCCCACAGAGCTCACCACAACAGTTAATAATACAATTCTTGCTAACAATCCCTAGATCAAGGCTTAGAATTAAACCCAGTACGTAAAATAAGGAGATTTGCAATATTGTAACGATTAATCAACTTTATGCTACTACTTCATTAAATGCACCTACCTGAAATCTTCATCCAATTCATCATCATCGTCATCATCATCCTCTCCCCAAATGGGATTTTTAAAGCCAGGTTTTATTCCATCTTGCCGATCTCTGCAATCAATAAATAGCTGGTGTACATACACTAAACTGCTGGATATTTTAAAAATAAACATGTTTTATAAATTAAATAGGTTTACAGTAAAGTAAACATTTTGAACAAGTTGGTATTATTAGGCCATAAAACAAACATGTATCACCAATAATTTATTGAGGATATTTGATTTTATCTGCATTTGCTTTATTAATGAACTTAGCGTGTATTATTTAGTGACCGTTAAGTAATGATTATTCAGAGTTCATAAGTTGCGGTCTGGTGTGATTTAATTTTAGAAAAACATTTTCTTTATTGTGCCAGTTTCTATCTTTATTCAGATCATCTTCAGGTCCTGGGATTTAGAAACATTGTTTAAATTATACAAATGAATTGATATAATGATGTACTCAATATAGAAATTTAGGTTTAACCAAAGTATTTGTACTCACTCAAAGTGTGTTTTCTGTGTAGATGTGTCACTGTTGTGTGTCATGTTGATAGTGTTAGTGAGAAATTAATGTCTTTTGTTTATATATGTTTGATTTTGATAGGATAAGTTTGCATATCTTTATGTACGTAAAGTATCTGTTAATGCAGAAGTGTTGAACCATTGTTATGAACGTTTTTAAAAATTAATTAATTAATTTTTTAATAACAAAGCTTGTTTGTGGTGTTATTTTAGGCCATTATCTTAAATAATGTTCAGTGTAATGTCTATTGGAATGTTGGTGAATAATGATGAAACGTCAAGAGAAATTTTCTTGCAATTACCCCTCTATATATCAAACTGTTTACATTTGATGGATTATAATTTTGTACGAATGTCAACACTTTTTAATCCTCTTCCAAACAAAAATGTTTGTTTACCTAGCATTTTGCTGCTTGGAAATAATTCAGTCTTTATTAAGATTCATGTGATTTATGCGTTATTTCGTTTTACTAGTTTAAACTCGGTCGGGACAGTGCCCAAATGACCAGAAGCATTAATGAAGTCTGGGGCGATGGCAGTGTGAGTGAGAGCACCATTCAGAGAAGGTTTAAAAATTTCGAGAGGGAGATGCCTTGAAGACAAAGCAGGTAGTGGATAGATTTCTTCCATAGATGATGATGTTATGAGAGCTTCGATTCGAGAACTTGCAGAGAATTGTTCAGTTAACAAATCAAACGTCCCTGGCCACTTTAAGGCAATTGGAAAAGTGAAAAAGCTCAACAGAAAGTTGGGTTCCTGATGCAGGCAACCGCCAAAAAAGCATCATTATGAAGTTTGCACAACAATTCTTTGCCAAAACAGAAACAAACCTTTTCTAGATAAAACTGTTACTTGTGATGAAAAGTGGATTCTCTACTAAAACAGCAGATGTTCGGGACAATGGCTCGACAAAGGAGAAGCAGTGCCACATTTTCCAAAGCCCCACTCATCAAAAAAAGGTGATGGCGTCTCTTTGGTGGGCTTCATTTGGGATGATTTACCACAGTTTCTTAAATCCTGGTGAACAATCAAGCCGAAATGTATTTAAAGAAATGCAAATTATTGAAGCAATGTTTAGTCAATCGGAAAAGAAAAGGCCGATTCTGTTAAATGACAATGCTTGGCCTCATGTCTCATGTGACATCTTGGTGTGATCTTGGTTATGAGCCTCACCCTCCCTACTCTCCGGGCCTCTCACCTACCAACTACCATTTTTTCAGAAACCTGGCAATGTTTTACAATGTAACATCAGCTATAAAAGCTTTAACGTGTGGGCCCTTTACTTAGCATTGATATTTGAACTAATATTAAGGTGGCTCCAGACATGCTAATGATGAGCAAAGATTTGCCGAATTCTGACTAGTGAGGAATAACCGAGCAACAATATTTGGTGCTCGCCTTTGCTTGGCTAATTGTAAAAATCATCCCCATATTCGAGAACTGACTGTATGTATATCAACTGTAATCATCAATCAAGAATAAGATTTTTTAACAATAAACGACTCATAACTACTATAGATGTATTAATGAACATCACAGCATTAGCCGTCGGTTACAAATGGATTGGTCCAACATAACTGAATTGGAGTTCCTCAATCTGTACTAAGATTATATTATATTATAGGAGTCGGCCTCTTTACGGCCTGTGCACCTTGACCAGTATTGGTCTATTATGCATCTCCATTTTTTTATCTAGAGCTCCTCGTTAAGCTTGAGGCTTTTTACCAGGCCCTTTTTACTAGAAGCTTTTTCAAGGGCTCCCGTGTGTATCCTTCAGGCCCTGGCTTTTCCTCTCCCAGAATTAGGAATCTCAGCCTACATAGGCCTTCACACCAACAGAGGACGTGTTCCGCTTTTTTTTCTTGCCAATATCTACACAGGTTTGTTTCTGCCACTCTAAGTCTATACATATGCCACCGGAGTCTGCAGAGTCCAAAGAGCAGTTCAACTATTATTCTAGTCCTAGCACATCCTAGATTTAGTAGTTCTGCTGTTAGTTTCTGCGATGGTCCTTTGATAAATTTTTTCGCATGCCTCTGTCCAGGGCTACATTCCCATTGAGCTTTTATTATTAATCCATCGTCTAATAGATCCGCATTATTGGCAGTTTGGTGAGCCACAAAAGGGTTCACGGCCAATAGGTGTCCTCATTGAACACTTGGCCAATTTATCGGCCTCTTCATTGCCCCTCTGCCCTGGCACTCAGGCAAGAGTAATTTTGTTATTTTCTCCAATGTCTGACAGGGCTCTAATGCTGTCCCAAAAGACTCTGGACTTTACTGACGATGCAGCAATTGACTTCAGTGCCGCCTAATTGTCCGAGTAGATGGTTATTCTTCTACTGATAATCCCCCCAGTCTATTTATCCCCCGGGCACAGTATGCCATCAGTACCAATAATTTAGAACGCTTCTCTTTCATGTTGTCTGCCACTCGTTTTCTCCACTCGCTTTTCTTTCAAATTACAAAAATCAGAACGAGGTTTTCAATGGGAATGGATCAAAAGTAAGATGAACCATAGCTGTAACAATGACAGTTTTACTGTTGTCCATCACGATTGGTTGTAAGTTGACGTCTCGGACAGCACTTGGCAAATATTTGCTGTTTCCACACAAACTGGGTGGTGTACATACATAGGTGCACTATTTGGCAAATGCCAAGACGAGCATCTTGAGACTTGGCAAACATTCGGCAGCAACTGGCATTTGGCGAACACTACATGTCTGTAGCCACCGGGTAAGCTTTTACTTACAATGTGTTCTAGATAAAGAAGTTAATGTTACACGACAGTCTCATCATCTCTCTTCACACATCTATCATTACATTGACATTTAATCATGATGTTAAGGCTGTTAACATTAAAATTGGTATACTCAACTTATGGAAATAAATCGATACCATGTCTGCAACACAAACTTTTTATTTCAATAAGTCGGGTATATTAATTCGAATGTTAAGGAAAAATGATGTTAGTTTCACGAGTCAAAACAGTTTGATCTCGTCTGAAGTTACGTTCATCACCGTAGACCTAAGATAGCTCAATTTAAAATCGTTTCGTTAATTCATTTGACATTTATAAAAAAAATGTCAGTTTAGGCAACCCCAAATAATTGTATAAGCAATTAAAATTTTATTGTTATGAAACTACTTCACGGTGTGAGACAAATTGTAGAAGTTAACCTGTTGACAAATGTCAATGTCATTTGTACACCACAGCTCATAAATATTGAGGGAGGTGGATGTCCAAAGCCTGAACATCTCCACCGTGTCAATTGGCACCCGAAGAAAGCTGCAGAGTTTACAATGGAACATTGCGTAGATTCGGACAAATAAGTGTTTACCTCGGTATCTGCGCTGGCAAGCCCACCACCTTTCTGAAAAAGTCATAAATGGGCATGGTGTCGCCTTCTCGGCAGTCCCTTTTCACCGGTCCCGTCCCGTTCCTGTCAAACAATAGCAAACCAACTCTTGAATTATGTAAACGTCCCGTCTGTCCCCCTTCAAGAATGACTTACAGATCAACGTCAACCTCTTTTCACATACAATCTTGATATATTTCTGCAATCGAAACAGGACGACATCGATTCTCTACGCGCATATCGGCCTTCATCATACAAAAAGTATGATAAATAAAAATTTCGATTTTATTTCACATATTGCTCTGCATAACTATTTGTAAGTACACATGTGGCTTTATCTTAACAACACTGCAATTACCCAGAGTTTTTTTTTTAATTTAATGTTGTGAGGGGAAGTTGCTTAAAATCGATTTTGTAACTTTTGTATGTCTCACAATCATTGATAAAAGGCGATGATAACCCATGATAACCTAGGACAGTAGGACTACGTTCTGGATTTCAGATTTTGCGTACTGTATAGCATATAAATATCTCTTATACAGTTAACCTTAACACACGCTACTGAGTATCCGGATTCAAATACCGTGTAATTCATTTCCATTTCAAAGAAATTTATTTGTAATTTATAGCTACATTGTTCCCAGAAAATATTAGTACATACATACAGAACCCCAAAAACGTATGGGCACACAAATATTTTATTATGAAAAAAAGCCACCAAAAACAAACTGCCCTAGCATAATTACTAAGGAAAAACAACGATTACGACAAAACAAATATGTACAGAGAAACGGACAAAACTTCAAAAAGTAGGCAATTGCCTGGTAGTACCAACCGGCTTTATGCCATGTTCATACTGGATGACATTTTACCATCACTGCTCTTTGGTTACTGAACTGTTGTTCAATAGAGTGAAAAAATTAATAATTTATTGCGTACATACAATAAACCAAAGAAGAGATAAAGGGAGTGTATTTAACTGTCACTTTGAAGGATTAATATGTTGTAAAAACAATCTGTTTAATTTATTTTGTACATCTGTTCATTTGATGAACTAACTTCACTGTAGGCAGAAATATAGCATTCAGCGGCAGATAGCTGAGAAATTGTATTCACTGAGATAACTGAAAAACCACTAAAGCTTGATTGAATCAATAAAAGCACTCTCAACACGACGCACAAGAATGACACGAAAACAAACACTTTGAGCCTTGAAGATGAACTCAATAAAGATTGAAACATTGGCACAATAAAGAAAATGTTTTCTAAAACCTACATCACCAGACCGCATCTCACGATCTCTGAATAATCATAGATTCTTCTATTCAAAATTTTGTCAACAATTGCAGGTTGCCAAATTTTTTTTTTTTAATAATAGGGGACGACAGTAGCCTCAACGGTTTAGGCGTTTTAATGTGAGGTTAATGTTCTGTAGTTAAAGAATATATATACTCTTGTGCTTAATTATTGTATTAGTTCTAAGTAGATCAGGGATGTGGCTATCGAAAGATAACTGTGATAAGTTTGCCAAGCTTTCGCCATATTCCTTTGGCCTTTATCAGTATTTTACAATTGGTAAAAAAGAACAATATTACCATATATTTCAACAAAAATTAATTTAGATTAATTGCCTTGTGGAAGGTGAAATAAATACACCGAAAGCTTGCCAAAACATAAATTATAACAGCCATGTTAGGGGTCGGTGGCCACAACGGTTTAGGCGTTGACACGGCACTCATCACTGTAAGGTAAAGGTCCCGGGTTCGAATCCAGCGACCCTGCATTCGAACCCGACATAATTACAAATGGCCTTTTTTTTTTCAAAAACACCAGCACCCTGAGGGTTGATGTAACCTCACTATTACGAACCCTCATTAAAATAAAATAAATTTATGAATGCCCTTTTATGATGTTCTGTGTTAACTGTCTTCAGTTTTAATAGTTTTTGGGATATCGGAAGAAAACATTTGAAAGTTTTGCTAGGAATCAATATATTTTGGTGGATTCCTATAGCGAAGAAGTGCTAAATGGACACCGGTCCCTGAATCTTTTCACTTAACTTTTGTCATAGTTTAACACTGCTTTTTGATTGTTCATTACTTCTCATGTGATACTGAGATGACAGGCAGTGAGTAAAAAAGCCAATCGACAGCAAATGAAATATTTTGAGTCCCATAGATTAGAATTTGTGACAAGTGTATCTAGAATGCCTTATCTACTAAATATACATTTTAAGTTATTTATAAAAAATAAAGCATTTGGACATATTAAATGATTTCTATAAATTTAGAATAGTATACATCATAACTAAATATTTTGACCATCAAAATAAAATTAAAAAAGGCTCCAACTTTTTCCCAATGTAATGGAGCACGAGGATTCAATGTAATGGTTCATTAATTTGTCGAGAATATATGATACACAAGCCATAATTTTCAATTAAATTTTTAATACTACTAGACTTCTTTGACCAAAACAATACTCCCCTGGATTATGCTTTAGCATGCTTAAGACCCATATGACTTGCATGAATTTTATTTAATAAGTATTTTTTCATTTTACAAGGAACCAAAATACTATTATCTTTATACAAGATACCATCATTAACTGTTATCTACCTGTTTTTATTTTCGGCCAACCATTTTTACAATACAAAATAACATTCCAATATATTATTATTATTTTATTATATTTTTATACATTTTTAAGAATATAAGATGTTTTATCATGTTCAGTTTCTTTTTGAATTTGTTGCAGTTACATTATGGGAATTGATTCAGTAATTAAGTTGATATGAATTCTTTCTTCTTCGTCTAAATTATTGTTAGTTTCAGACAATAGATAGCTCAGACTCGTAGGATGCTTGGCACTTCAAAAATTCAGAAATTTCTCTAGCATGGCTAGTATATATTGCAAGTAAATCCTAAAAAGTAAAAAATATTATTACTTAAAAAGACACTGTGCACAACCATTATTATACATACATCCCTGGATAAGTCATCCGGGTTTTTCTCCAATAGAGAAGCCAACTGGTTGACAAAAGGATAAATACCCAAGTGTCTTTTTCCAATTGTGATTTTCACTGCTGTTTGACTATCCAATGCCGAAAATTCCACCCGGCTCATTATATCTTCCCCTTCCTTTATTGCAAAAAAAAATTACACACACACACACACACACACACAAAACTGACATAAATTATTTAGATCACTTGTATTACCTCTCCTCTCCATAAATAGGAGAATATATTTGCTGCATAACTCTCTATGCATTCGACTTCATGCTGGAACTGAGAAATCACTCCAATTGAGGTTAAACGTGGTATTACATTTTGTTTATACCTGAAAATAATTAAATTTGTATTTTTTTTTTTTATATTTTAAAACTCATAATTTAGGCTTAAACTGAATCCATTCAATAAAATAATCACTTAGTAATCAGAGAACACAGTTGTGACAGTGTCAAATGGTTCAAAGAAAATAGGGCCCCATAAACAACTACCGGTGGAACAACACTAAGAAAGATAAGGGCAAAATCAACTTGAAGATCTGCAAGTTTAAGATAGACTTCAAGGCACTTGTTGATCAATAATGTGCAATCCATTCCTTCAAGGCAGACCCCAACATTAAGTAGTTTATGCATAACTTTACAAAGAGATATAACAGTATCAGTTGGATTTGATAACCATTTTGCATTTTTAAGACCAGGAGAGGATAATCCTTTAGTATATCTTTCTATAATAACTGAAACCTGAAAAGAAAAAAAATCAATTTTAAGAAAATACATCAGTTTTAACAATGAAAACATGACACAGCACTCATCACTGTAAGTTAAATGTTCGAGTCCAGCATTGAAACCTGACATACTTAAAAATGGGCTTTTTGTCAACAACACTAACACCCACTTGGTATGACCTGAGCTGTTGTGAACCCCCCTTTAAAAATTAAAACAAACCCCAGGAGTTGATAGGACTTTAAATGGCCTTATGTTCTTTCATATTGGCCAGAGTATTTTGTAGTATTACTGGGGGAAGAGGAGTGTGAAAAAATAAAACTAATATAAAATCAATAAAGAACACTTTTTCTCTCCCCTCCTGAATTGAATTGTATGTTGTTGTTTTCTTAACCAGGGTGTTCGCCAGCAGCCAGATACAAAATGGTGCCGATGAACACTGCCGGAGATAGGAGTTGAAATTAATAAGATTCGGCACCAACGGGAATGGAGATGTTAGCTTAGGAAGAATTAAATGAAGGAATAAATAATGAACGAAAGGAGTAATTGAAGACTCACTGTTTAATGAAATTTCTATAGCTTACAAGATGGCCGATGATCGTATTGGAGATCTGAAGGCGATGATGGTCTAAAGGCGATGAATCCCTCTGAAGTCGATGGAGACCGGAAAGCTGTGAATGTCTCCTGAATGCAATATCGTGCGTTGTTCAGCGGTGACTAGGCCAGTGCACCGACCTGGTTCCTGCAGCATCGTTGATGATGATGGATGATGAAATCCAGTGGTGATGACAATGAGACGATGCAATCCAGGTAGTAGCCAGTGAGATGATGGCGTCTTCAGGGGGTACTGATGGATGATTCGTTCATGGGATTATAATGATAGATGGAAAAAGGAAGATGAGATATTAAGGGAAAATGGCGATGATAGGTTTGGGGACCATGCGGTCGGGAGATGGGACGCACGAGGAGGTGAAGATCGTATGGCGATTTGAAGGGGAATCCATGGGGATTCGCGTGGCGAGGTAACTTTAAGAAACGGCGATCTTACCCGAAGGTGAATTACTATGGCGCAACACTTTGGGGAGATAGGGCGATAGGAGGTGTGCTCGCGGAGAAGAGAGCCAAAAAAGGCTGGAAGGGATGGGTTTTTGAGGAAAAAGGAGAGAAGTGTGTTATGATTGGTGGACTTACAGAAGATAGGGATTATAGATAGAGGTACATCGCAAATCAGGCACTTCTGTGACGGAGACGCGCCTGAACACAGGGGTTTGCTACTGAGGTCATATCAACTAAATGTGCTAGTGGTTTTTTTTCCCAGGACCTTCCAGTGATGAGTGACACTTGAACATCTGCAGCACCATTCATCACATTAAAGTTTAAACTAGTACACATAAAGCAAACTCACTATATTTATAATAAAAAGAGTGAGAGCATCAACAATTTGTATTTTAACCTCTGCACTCGATGATACATATACTCTTGCCAATGGAGTTAAAACAAGCTTCTCTAAGTCTGAAAATACATGAAAAAACGTTAATTTATATACACATACGTGTGTGTGTTTAATACTAACCATGAAAAGTTTCAAAGTATAGCCAGGGGATTAGGCGGTAAATTGTCTGGTCCAGGTGGTTACCATCCCAGGTAATGAGAAAGTCAGACAGATAGTCAGTGACTTGCGGTAGACCATGCATTAATTGCTCTTGCAATTCAGCAATTGATTTCAGTAAATTTTCACTTGGTTCGTTTTGCAAACATAATGAGAGTGATACGAGGAATTGTGTATTTGGTCCATTCGTTACTAAATACATTAAGCCTTCTTTTGAGGAGAGAAGTGATATAAGGTTATGCGGCAATTTAACACTCTTCATTTTCAAACCTAGATCATACATGCTAAACAGGAATTATTCAGTAATTTATTTTTTTGTTTAAAATTAAAAAAAACCTTGAAATATCTGAAATTTTTTTTAAGTCACTTCTTTTATCATTATCCATTAAATCGTATTCAGGAAACGGTAGACTATTAAGAACACATTGGGTATCCTACAATTTTACACAATGCTGAATTACACTGATTGCAACAAAAAAAATTTCATACTATATACCTTTGATTTCCTCGTAATGTGACCATTTTTTTGACAGACACGTTTAATACATTCTTCAAAAATTGACAAGTTCTTCTCTTTTGAATTTGGACATTTAACTACTTTTGGTTTGACTGGCACTAAAGAGGGGCACAATGAGTGGTACAAAGCGAGAAGTTTACCAACTTCTTTAATATCAGAATTGTAAAATGTAGACACAAGGAAAACATTACTTTTGGTGACCAGTTTTGGATGTGTTACAGCAATTAGAAGTTTGCTCAATGGTTTGACCTATAGACATTCAACAGAATTATTAACATTTTGTATAATTACATGACACACTATAATAACCGTACATACAAGTTCACTTATTCTGAGGTTTTTAATTAGAAATCCATACATTTCCCTTAGAGGTGTTTGATCAACTAATTCAAACTGAACCATAACTGAAACAATATTGAATAAGGATTTAGGTGAAAATAACTACCATTGAAAATGACTTACTTTCTAACCACGTTATTAGCATTGCTGCTGATGGAGGATTTGTAATCGTGTTGGAGAATAGCCAAAACAACAACTTTTCAACGTTTTCAGCTGACATAATGGTATTTGGAACTAAAATATGTAAAATTAATTGCCTCTGTTGATTCGTTAAACCTAAAAGAAAAGATCATCTAATTACACAAAATCTTGCGCTGGTTTGCAACACAAATAAACAATAAAAGTGTAGGGGTTGCTGGCGGCTGCAACAGTTAAAGCATTGACACGGCAAATCATCATTGCCATTAGAAAGGCTAGGTACATAAATAATAAAATATGTATATATATTCATAGGTGCTTTCCTAAATGAAAAATCAAATGAAAAAAGAAGAACAAAAAGGTTAATTTATTACAAGAAATTAAGTTAAGGAAGACTCCTTATGCAACAGCGCAGTAATCCTAAATCTGTTTGTATAGCATTCTTCAATTGGCTTATATTAAAAAAAGGCTATGGGAATGATATAAATTTTTTCTTGATATGCCCTGCAGAACAAACTTGAAAGACCTGAGTTCTGGTGAATGAGTTAGATCCTTGAAGGATGTTCCATGGGTTTTCAAAACTTGCCTTCAAACATTTCCTCAGGTAATTTGATAATGGTCGGTAATTATGTGCTGGACACCCAACACTTGAAAATAAACATTTTGAATATTTTCAGCAACGCAATGTCTACCGTTTCATTTAATACTTACTAAATTTCACCACACTATGCAAAAATGTCAGCCACACCAATACAACTGAGAAATATCAACTTGGAATTGCCAATTTGGATACTATGTTGCAGCCTTCAAACACCACAATTACAGTTCAATAATTCCTTTTTCATATGACTAAATTTTGTTTATTTATAAATATAGAATGATATTTTTTTTCTTAAGGCGTACAAACAATGGGTCAAAACTGTCTTGATGCTCTATGAGGCAATGAGAAAAAGAGACAAGTCAAGAGGGGCAGGTACATCGAGGCTGGTAAGCCACCACAGCAAACCAGACATCTACAGATCAACTAAAGGCTAGACACCTAAACAAACTTTTCTCCACACCAGAGTTTAGTGGCAGATTACTTAAAAGGTCCCAAGTTCCAGGGTTCGAACTTAATCCAGAGGTCACATCTGCATACCCACCCCACCACACCATTCTAAACTCAAAGCAGTCTCATTACCCTACTCTTTATTTGGCAGAATTTATGTATCAACCCAGTTTCAACTAGGAATTCAAGCAGCTTTCTGATATTAGATGGGAAATATTTCAAAATTTCAGACGCATTATTTGCAAGACTATAATTGACCTACTCTCTCTGTTTTATACTAATTTCTCTGAGTATGTTTTGATGTTTCGCCACTCCAATTGCCACAAATCCCAATTTTTTTCCGTTTAGAAAAATGGAAAATCTTTGCAAGGCACCTCCAGCACAGAAGTACCCTTCAACACGGCATATTTCATTACTTGATCAGCCTCCTAATTGCTCCTTATACCACAGTGACCTGGGATCCACCAAAAGCTAACTGCTGATAATTGTATGATCTTTTAGAACAAGTAATATCTCTCACATCATTTTTCTGTCCTGATAAATAATTGACTCTGACATCAACAGAGATAGGAGAATCGTTTGCAAATGCAAATATTGAATTTAGGTTGGTATCTTTTATTCTTCAAAACTCTTTTTTTTTTAAATAATAAACGTAAGCATTTTCTTTTGTAAATCTTGTTAGACCAAGATTTATATTAGGAGTAAGCAGGAGCCATGGCATAATCGGGGAAACAAATTTCTTTTCGTTTTGGGAGCTGATAAGCCAGTGGTGTTCAGGAACTCAGAGACTTGAATGCCAAATGATATTTATTTGAATTGTGTAATATTTAATGACCATCAAGTAATGGCTATTCAGAGTTCGTGAGATCTGGCCTGCTGCCAATCTCCGTTGACATTTGTAAAAACAATCCACGGTGGTAGTTTGCAACATCATCGATTCAATAAAAATACAAACCACTGTTATGTGGTGATAAGTGACCGTTAGTCAATGATTATTTGGAAATCGTGAGATGCGGTCTGGTGTGAGGTTTTTTTTGAGTTTAAGAAACATTTTCTTTATTCAGTCACAGCCACACCCAGACATACCTCATCACCCACGCTAATAAATACATTCACACTGCAAAATGGAGATATACCACGTGTGGTTGGTTATATGTATCCATACGCATTTATCAATTTTCAGTACCTAATAAGATTATCTTTGAAGACACTGTTATGCTTAAGAACTATTTCCAGATAGTAGGTCACAACGTTTTCAGTACTCTCTTAACTTATTACATTCCTCTAATAGGTGTCTCACCGTTACCAGGTTTCCACAGAGTGGGCGTTTTTGACTTCTACCCACTAACAGGTGAATGTGCGTGAGACGGGTGTGACCTATTCGCAACCTTGTTAATATTATTTTGCTACGTTTTTCCAAATTCTCTCTGTTTCTCATAAAAAGGATTCAGAGTTGGGCCCGTCTTTTTGAATCGAGAACAGACCGTGACACATGTAGAAAATGCCATACTTATTGCAATGAAATGGGTCACAGCACAATAGTTAACAAATAATGTTTTATAGCGTGATTTTTTTAAAACTTCCTGCTACACAGCCGTGTTTGAAGAAAGGGAGAACTAAACGTTTTTGAAAATTCTTTAGGGTCAAAGGATGAACCTTCACTCTCTTACTTGAATCCGGTGAGACGAAGAAATCTACAAATAAGCCTAATGATTCCTCTTCCAGCCCTTCTTTCATGATATCGTCGAGGTGTTCCTCGATAAAATTCCCCACCTTGCTCGCAGACACATCACCTAAAAAGAATTAAATTTCATTCTATAATTCAATTTCACCAGAATGAAACACAAATTAATAGTCTAGTTACATCCGTTCTGGAACATCTTTTTTATCGTACGGTTCATTGCGTAAAAATAAAATTTAATTACAAGATAAACAATGCACAACGAATTGAGTGGAGTGTACGAATACTTTGGTTCTGACTTTATGAGCCACTTCTCGTTCTCGCCAACGGCTAATATCGAATCAATCGATATTATAATAATAATCGATATATAATAATCTAATATAACAATAGGAAGGTGAAATAGATTTTTAGTTCAGCCATAATGTTATAGAATAACATATAATTCCTGTCGTTATAAATTTGTAAATAATTTAAACTTTAAAAGTTGTTTTAAAAAATCAAAATTGAGTCGTTCCCTGCATTAAGATGGGGGTCATTTAACAATTTCAGTCCCACATTGGAAAATTTAACTCTAATAAATTACAAAAATATGTGTTTAATTATTATATTTAAACTTATTCTCATCAATAAAATTAACTATTTGTTGTTAGTTAATTATTCAATTGTTCAAAATTTAAAAAAAAAACAGGTTCTATTACTATTATTATTATTATTATGTATTGAATGCTATCTACGTATGAATGTAGATAAATACACGTAAAATTGAATAAAATATCTTGTTTTAAAATTAGTGAGGCTTCTTTCAATTGTTTATTTTTTATTTTTTACTTGAACGGTAAATCTAGTTAAAGGCATCACTGTTCGCTTTCTTGAAGTATTCGATTTTCAGGTTATTTTATTGCTATTTAACCTTTCACATTGCAACACGTTTTTTTCCCTTTCAACTTTGTTTTACTGAAGTAAAAGGGAATTTAATATTTTATATATGATTTCCAAAGTAGAATATCTCGTAGCGGACACGAGTGCTTTTATTAAATATGCACAGTTCCAGGTAAGCCTAGAAATAATCTATTCAAAATTACCTGCTGTTAATAGTCAACTATTTTATTTTATGGCAATATTTATTTATTTTTTTATTCGAATAGGACATCTGCGAGAATGTTATAACGGTCGAGGAAGTGATTTCTGAGGTCAAAAACACGAAGCAGTTCAAACACATCGTCGATTTTCCTTTTGACTTGCAACTCAAGGAAGTCGAGCCGGAAAACGTGACATTCGGTAATTTATAAACGTTTATCTTTTTATTATTAGTCAGAGTCAGTTTAAGTGCTCGTTTTTCATCTCAAATACAACGACTACCAAAGGTATTCCTCCAGTCTGTTTTTGCAATTTTCTCAAATATTTTTTTAATTAATTTTTTTTCCTCAATTAAAAAACGTATATAAACGTTACAAATAACGTTAAAGAAGAATGCCATGTCAAAAAAAATTAAGATCATCGTTTTGGAAAATGTCAAATCTGCCATGGAGTCAGCATTTGTCATCCTGCTCATGGATTATTATCATAGGGTTGTCATTATTGTATTATTGTACATTATTCGTCAAATGTTTTGGATCCTTTTGGCTTGTTGAATTGTCCTAAATAGAATACGGCATGCAACACATGTTTCCAGGTGTGCCCAAAGGTTTTTTTTTCTTCTACAAATAGGTGATCCACGTTTGTATCGAGAGTGACAGGCCAAATCATTTTTGCAAAGTGGAGTCGATTATGCTGGCCTGATAAGTATTCTTATGTCTCATAGACATAAACCAGTCTTGTTGAATGTGTATATTTGTCTCTTGCTAATCTATAAAAGCTGTCCATATGAACTTATCGGGATTATCGACTCTTTTTTGTAGGTTTCTTTCGAAGCAAGGTCCCTGTCAATTTTTGTACTCTGATTAGGGCATACATTTTGTGGGTGCCAAAAAAGGAGCTGTAATGGCTTTCTTCATTAACTGTCTATCAGGAAACCAGGAGCTCCCCATTTTGGAGGAATATGGGAACAAAAATTAAACTCCATGGAGTTGCATTTGTTTAAGGTTAACGGGTCAAAAATTTTAATGTACAAAGATGTGATGATTAGTGACCGTTAGTCAGTGACAATTCGGAAATTGTGAGATGCGGTCTGGTGTGACGTAGGTTTCAGAAAAACATTTTCTTTATCGTGCCAATGTTTCGATCTTTATTGAGATCATCTTCAGGGCCTGGGATTTATAAACATTGTTTAAATTTAACAAATACATGTAGGATGTGGAAAAAAGTGAATTTATACAATGTAAAAAAATATTTTTTATATTCAATCGTTGGACGGTAAAGAAAATGTTTTTTCTGAAACCTACGTCACGTTCTCCTCTCAGTTCGGATCCTACAGAACATTAGTACTCACTCCGGCACATTTTCTGACATTGGCCTCTCTCAAATACATCCCTAGAGAGGATTTGATGGAGGTAATGCTTAATCATTTGTCAAGGTATGAGTTGGTGGATCGATTAGTTCAATACTTCGGGGACCAATGGGGAAAAAATACTTACACAAATTATAGTTAGGAAAAAACATGGCACAAAACTGTTCCTTTGTTGAAGGTGGGATCAGTTGTGATCGTTAATCAACCAATTCGGCCTCCCTTAAAATTGGTGGTCATTAGAGATAGTTGGTGGAGGTGTTTCTGGGGAAAAGTGGGATTGTTTCGGTAGCAACCATTCAGCTGCTATGGGGGTGTATAAATTTATAAATCCACTTGCCAATTTCTGCTCATTCCTCAATCAGTAACTTTGCTATGTATTTTATTGTGATTTGTAATATAGTTTTTCGTACATAGTTGTTTGGTGGGGGTGTTTTTTAATTTATTGAAGGTACTTTTTATTTTTGTCTTGTTAGGGCGGGATGGCCAAAGTGGTCGGTGCTGAGGGTGTGACAAACCTTCCCCTTCCTAGTCAATCTGTAAATATGTTTGTATTTAGGTAGTATTAGAAGTTAACAAAAGTCTTCAATTTATGAAGTCCCTTAGGGTCTTCATGCTGGGGGGGGGATGTTTAGGCCAGAAGGATCAGCGACGATAATGGCCAATTGGATGATGAAAAATCCTATCTTGGCCGGAGTGTCAATTGAAATTTGTCTGTTGATGTAGCTTTTTCGTTGTGTCATTCTTTGGGGGCACTCTTGACACGACACGCAAGAACGACACAATTACACAGAAGACAAACACTTTGAGCCCTGAAGATGATCTCAATAAAGATCGAAACGTTGGCACGATAAAGAAAATGTTTTTCTGAAACCTACACACCAGACCGCATCTCACGATTTCTAAATAAATATTCCTAATGTTAAATTAAAAAATTAATAACTAATAAAACCAAACTTGCTACTTCAATACATTTTGTCCTTTAATTTACATTTTTAGTAACCAAATTTTCAAAAAAAACTGGTGATTACCCTGCACTATCTGCAACTGACATTAATGTGCTAGCATTGACTTACCAATTAGAAAAGCAGTTTGTTGGAATTAACCATCTGAAAACAGAGCCTATAGCCCAAAAATCTGTTGAACCTATTTGTCATAGTGTGACCAATGCAGCTGACATCATTGGATTTTATTCTCCTGAAAGTGATGAGGTGAGGGTTTTAATGATGCAAGTCTTATTGTTCTATTATGTAAGACTTAAGTAGTTTTATTTGACAGGAATGTGAGTTCTCTAACAAAAATGAACAATATAACAATTCCACTGATATTGAAAAACAATCTGTTGAATTAACAAATGTTGATGATGCTGAACAAGAGGTACCAGATATTGACAGTAAGCTTCTTACAAGTTTGAAACATTTGTCATGCCAAGATAACGAGGAATCAGGTATTAGTTTTATTCTTTATTTTATTACTATAATTACAGTGTTTGTGTACAGTGATTGTATGTTCTAAGGTTGTGATCAAGATGACCCATGTGCTTTGGATGATGATGATGCTGGATGGATAACACCTGCTAATATTGTCACGTCAAAGCAAGATATGAATGGAGACGTTGTGGAGAATAAAAAAGTAAAAGTGGCTTGCCTTACTACAGATTTTGCTATGCAAGTAAGTGTATCTAAAATGAAACCAGTTGTCAATGTATAGGTTAACCCTCTCCGAAGTTTGCTTAAATATCCCTATTTTACTTAGTTAATGACTTAAATACTTACTCAGTTTAGAAATGACCATTACAGCTAGGGAATTCATAATATAAAATGTAATCAGTATGTCCTGAACCATGGTTACAAAAATATACTGATGTCTGATCATTGACATTTCTTATTAAAACATTTAAATTTTTTCTTTTTTTTCAATTATTCTTCAAATTAAAAACTATTGTTACGGTCTGGGACAAAAAGATAGCCCACCCAATATTTTTTCTCTTAATCAATTTTAACCATTGATATGGTTAGGGATGGTTAGGGAATGGAAGGAAAATGCTTGAGACAAAAATCATGGAAAAAGGGTGGCATTGTGTTGGGTGAAAGGGCATGCAGGCTTATGGCAAAATGAAACGGTGGACGCACTTGCAAAGGAGGCTGCAACATCAGGTCCAACCCTTGACATTAAAATTCCTAAAGATGACGGGAAAAACTTTTTGGAAAAGTTTTGTAGAAATCTGTGGCAAGAAAAATACAACACATCAAAATTATTACAGGTCACTGTTCCCTGAGCTCAAGAAAAAACCATGGTTTTCAGAAGGCGATAGCCCAGAAGGAATGTCAAAGGAGTTCTATTCTACTATTTTTAGACTGAAAACAAATCATGGTCTATGGGGTAGCTACAAGAAGAGAATCAGTTTGGCATCGTCTCCGAACCGTCCCACTTGCGATTGCCCTTCAAATCCTTCCCACATAATTTTTGAATGTCCTGAATATGAAAATGAAAGAGACAAACTGCTAAAAAATTTGAGCAACGTCCCAAATATTTCAAAACCAATAAACTTAGAATCTGTCCTAATAAGCAACAATCCATCAGCTTTCAACATAATCTATGGATTTCTAAAGTCGATAAACGTTTCTTTTTGATTATCTTCAAGCATGAAAATTTAGAAGATGAGAAGATGATGGAGCTGAATGAGTGGTGCGGACACGCGGTGGGGACCTGGCCCTGGTCGGCTGATCACGCTCGACAGTAAAATGAAAATAGAAAACTTCATGGGTAATATGCCAGCGTAAACCCCCTCCCCCCCCCCCAAAAAAAAAAATAAATTTTATTGATATAATTTTTTAAATTTATTTTGAACCGATTTTCTCCATTAGGAACTGAAAAAAAAATACTTTGTAAGAATTAATGAATTATGATTAGGGTGAGACAAAAAGATAGCACACTTGTTGTTTATTTACAAACAAAACCAAATCCCTCTGAGTAAACAAGGCTAATTCAGTTCAATTTCTGCATTCATGTATATTAGTGCGATGAGACGAGCAAAACCATTAACACCTGCTAAAAAAAATATCATTCAGCAAATGAAAAATCGAGGATTTTGTATTTCCAGTATTTCAAAAAATACCGGTAGGAGTAGGAAAGTAATTTTAAATTTTTTGAAGTCTCCAGAAATCTATGGGACGAAGAAATTTCCTGGAAGACCACGGCAAAAAGGGCAATTTTAAGGGTTGCATCCAACTCAACTTCAACGGCCCGTCAAATTGCTGCGAGAGCAGGTGTAGTGACGAATATGAAAAACGTCCAAAGGATCATTCGTGCAGCTCCTCACATCAAAAGAATGAAAATGAAAGGCATTCCACCTCTAAGCATGGCTCATAAAGAAAGAAGAAAGGAGTTTGCCCGTGAACATGTGCAATGGAAAGAAGAATGGAAGGATGTCCTGTTCACCGATGAAAAAAAATTCAATCTCGACGGTCCCGATGGCTGGCCTCACTATTACCATGACCTACGGAAAGAAGAGAAAGTGTTTTCCAAGAGGCAAATAGGAGGAGGCAGCGTCATGATATGGGGTGGTATTGGCTATGATCACAAAACTGATATTGTGTTTATTTCTGTTCGAATGAACAGCCAACAATATGCTAATTTGTTAGAAAAGCAATTAAAAAAATATTTTGAACTTGTTCCTAAAGAGAACGTAATTTTTCACCAAGATAATGCTCCAGTTCACACGGCAAAAGTTGCAAAAGAATTTTTTAGAAAAGAAAGGATCAGAATTATAGATTGGCCAGCTAGGTCCCCGGGTTTTAATATTATCGAAAATGTATGGGGGCATCTTGCTAAGAGTGTTCACAGCGGTAGCCGACAATTTCAGGGCGTTGAAGAATTGAAGAAAACAATTCAGGAGGAGTGGGCCAAACTTCCACAAGAGATGATTCATCGTCATTTTGACTCGCTTTTAAATCATATGATTGCTGCGTTAGAAAAAGGTGGTGCATATACAGGATATTAATTTTATTTTGTTTTTTTAATTGTGTTTTAATAAAGAATTTTATTACTATTGTTCACTGTGCTATCTTTTTGTCTCACCCAAATCAAGTATTATTTATTAATTCTTACAAATTAGTTTTTTCCAATTCCTAATGGAGAAAATCGGTTCAAAATACACTACATATTAATTTAAAAAATTATATCAATGGTTAAAATTGAATAAGAGAAAAAATATTGGGTAGGCTATTTTTTGTCCCGGACCTTAACTTTTTCCACCATTTTAATTACAAAAAGTTTTATTTTGCCTAACCAGTAACAGTTTTAGTTTTTATTTTAAAAAAAACTTTTGTTATAGTTTGTAAATATTTGTGAAATTATAATTGTGTACATATATATTTCTTTTTATTTTACATAAACTTTCATTTGCTAATTATAACTTTAAAAAATATACCTTTGTATAGGAACTTACTGAATTGTAACTGGTACAATGAGAAGAAAATAATCTTGTCTTCAGTTCTTGTTATTTCTGTTGTCAAATGAGTCAGATTGAAAGACATGTAAATTGTCTAATTAAAAAATATGAAGAGTAGAAGTGGGCTAAAAACATCCCTACCTTACATAGGATACTTATAAATGTTACTAATTGTTGTTTTTATCCCTTCTCCAGAATGTTCTTAAACAAATTGGCCTTAACTTAGTTACACTCGATGGCTTGATAATAAAGGAAGTGAAAACCTTCATTCTAAGATGTTACGCTTGTTTTAAAACAACATCAATAATGACAAAATTATTTTGCCCTAATTGTGGAAACAAAACATTAAAGAGAGTAGCAGTAACTGTTGATGAAGAAGGAAAAGAGCACATTCATATAAATTTCAGTAGACCTCTTACTGCAAAAGGAAAAAAGGTAAGTGCCCTTGATTAAACAAACCATTATCTTAAATAATATGTTCAAATGTTATTTCAGTTTCCAGTTCCAAAATTTCATGGTGGTAAACACTCAAACAACCCAATTTTAAGTGAAGATCAAAGGGTGCCTCAACAGAGAATATCAAAAATGGCTCGCCAAAAAAATAATCCTTTGAAAGATGATTACATCGCATGTTCTTCCCCGTTCTTAATGAGAGACATAAGTTCTAAATCTGCTATCCTTGGGGTTCAGAGGAAGGTTGAACTTAAGTCTTGGATGAGGAGAAATCCTAATGAAGTCACTAAGAAAAGAAGAAAAAAGTGAATGATTTATGAATGTTAATAAATTTTTTTTATTTCCTTTTCCTGTTGTAATTTTTTTAAAATTTTTATGAAAATTAAAATTACTGTATATGTTTATACTAATACATTGACAGGCAAAAAATATCGACTTGTAATATTACTTGATTTGTATATATTTTTATAACTAATCAAAGTTCCATGTTTTTTAACATTCAATAATTGAGACTTGGATTAAAAAGTTTAAAAAAATATATAAATTACTTTAAAAAAAAAAAAAAGAGAGAGTGAGAAAGGGACAGATAAAATTTGTTTTAATTTTGTTTTAGATTGTTAATTACATTTCAATTGATTACAACAAAGCTTTGACAAACAAAGCTTAAGAAAAAATTAATTTGTTGTCCTTTAAATCCTTTGAAGTGACAAAAAATAATGAAATGTTTTAATATATAGTTAACACTTACCTTAAAAATGATCACACTACAGTTTAGTTTTAACGTTCTTCAACTTAGTGTGTAAATCATAAAAACAGTGGGCAGTATAGGTTTCTCACTTTTTGTGCATATATGCGTAAGTTTAAACCATTTGGAATATAATTTATAGGGGATCGTATAGAAAGCAACCTGTACAATCTGAAAATTCCATAAGAATCCGACAAATGGTTTTAAAGATATAGCTGTGTTTGGGTTTTTATGATTGCGAATGCCCAGGCGATTCATTTGATCTTAATAGGATGATGTTCATAGGGGACCATCTAAAAATCTCCCCCACTCAATCTCTCAAACATTCATACAAATTGGTCCCATGGTTTCGGAGTTTTGCCGATCGATAACAAGGAATTGACAACAGACAAACATGGAACCAAATTTGTTCAAAGGGTCTGAAGCGCAAAATGCAAGTGGAAATTTTGAGAGGACAAAAATCTTTTTGACTTCCTGCATGAATTCAAGGCTTCCTACCTTCGGTATTTTGGAAGCAAAATGTCTTGTGCATTAAAAGAAAAATTGAATATGAATCTGCTGTTAGGAAAAGCGGACCGAAATTTACATCAGGCTGAATGACTCCACATCGTCCTATAATTAGATGTTATTTAAGGATGGTGATCCATTTTTATTTCTATATCATTAGGTTATATAGGAGTGGGACTCTTTATGGTCTGTGCACCACGACCAGTATTGGTCTATATCTCCATTTTTTATCTGCAACTCCTCGTTAAGCTTGAGACTTTTTACCAGATCCCCGAAGCTTTTTCCAGGGCTCCCATGCCCAGGATGAGGAATCTTAGCCTACATAGGCTTTTTCGTACCAACAGAGGACGTGTTCCGCTCTTTCTTCTTCTTCTTGGCAATATCTGCACAGGCTTGTTTCTGCCACTCTGAGACTATACATATACCTCCGGAGTCTGCAGTGTCCAATGAGCAGCCCAACTATTATTTTAGTCCTAGCACATCCTAGATTTAGTAGTTCTGATTTAGTAGGTCCTTTGATAAATTTTTTGCATGCCTCTGTCCTGAACTTCATTCCCATTGAGTGGAGGACTTATTATTAATTCAATGTCCAATGGATCTGCGGTTTTGGCAATTTGGTGAGCCAAAGTCCACCAAACCACTGATCCGTAGGCTATCATGGGTCTAATAGCCGCTATATATAGCCATAGGGACATCTTTGGATTCAGTCCCCAGCTTTTCCACAAGGCGTTTGCATCTGCCAATGGCATCTTTGCTCTTTGTGTAATTTTGTTTAGTTGTTGATTCCATAAAAATCTCTGGTCGAAAATAACTCCCAGATATTTCGCCTCTTTAGAGAAAGAAATTTTAAGCCCAGTTAGCGTAAGAGGCTTAAAGCACTCCTAGTGCTCTTTTCTCGGTACAGGGACCCATGATGGTTTTGTTATTATTTTTTTTTACGAGGGTTCGCGACAGCAGAGGTCATATCAACTCTCAGGGTGCCGGTGTTTTTGAAAAAAAGCCCATTTGTAAGTATGTCGGGTTCGAATGCAGGGCCGCTGGATTTGAACCCGGGACCTTTACCTTATAGTGATGATCGCTGTGTCAACGCCTAAACCGTTGTGGCCACCGACACCCCTGATGGTTTTGTTAGGGTTTATAGAAAGCCCTTCCTTTTTACACTATCTGTATGTTATGTTGAGTGTGTATTGGGCCCTCTCTGTAATGACTTCAGCAAATCATCCATTCACAACTACCAACAGATCATCTGCATATCCTAGGTAATTAAAGCCTTCGACAAATAGCCTTTTCAGATCATGCAATGACACCAACCAAGGTAGTGGTGACAGAACGCCACCCTGAGGGCAGCATGTGGTTGTTCTCATCCTTATTGCAGTGTCGCCCAGGTAGATAAAATTATTCTCTTCCGTAGACTTTCCTCCACCCATTGACATATGGATTTTGAGATTCCTTTTTTGCTTAGCACATAGGTCAGGGATTTGGTTGTGGCATTAAATGCACCCTTCCACTCCCATGAACAACGCCAAGCCTATTTCTTTGTCATGCCTTAGATAATAGCCTGTTTAAGTCATCCAGTGGGTTAGTTTTTAGTGCTGTGCTTTTAATATGATTATCTATCAGTTTTCTCTAGTGTATTCTGCATAAACGATGAGCGACTGGTAGGTCTGTATGAACTAGGTGTTTGATCTATACACCTACCCACCTTTGGCAAATAAACAACCTTCACCATCCTCCATGCAGTGGGTATGTATCTTCATGCTAGGGAGGCCCTAAAGATTCTCCAATGCTTAATGTTATATGTTTAAGTACAAATTTATAATGTTAACATGGTTCCGACCCGCCAAAGATCCACTTTAAAAGAAAGAAAATAAGTGCTTAATCCTTACGAAAAATTTGGGAACCAAGCTATTTATAGCTGTATAACTAATAAACTTTATATAATCTGTAAGTGCCACCAAAGGTATCTACTACATTGGTGCGAACAATTAAGTTAGTACTTAATTTTATTGTTATCCATAATAATATTAATTTATTTAAAAGTCAATTGGATTATGACAACGCCTGCGCTCTTGACATGCTGGAAAAGTGGGAGTCTTTTCCCATTGGTTGTTTGTTGAGGCAGGGGACACGTGCAGGTTCGCCGACCCTGGATTAGGCAAGGTCACTCCACGTGGAGAGTAAGTTCAACGACCTTCCACGTGTACAACCAACCCTACTTTACCATAGGCCCCCCTTCTACGTACCATCCCCTGAAAAATGAATAGGCTCCCAGCCCTCTCTTTCCGACTATGTACATATCTCCTAATACGTCGCATCATCAGTCGAAATATTCGATTAAAATAAGGTGTTGGATTTATTTTATGTGATATCTATAAAATCAATAAAGGTTGAAAAGTTCTGTTTCGAATAGATTATAATTGATAAACTTATCTTTCGGTTGTCCTAAAATAAGGACATCGTCTGCTATAGTATGTACAAGTTACATCCGCAACGGTTGAGTCAAATTTCTAACTTACATATATCTGCAAAGTGCTCTAAGCCTCTTTCACCTCTCATTTTCTCTCTCTTTCTCTCCTCTCTCTTTCTCTCTCCCTCCCTCCCTCCCTCTCTTTCTTTCTCTCTCTCACTCATTCTCTCTCTTTTCCCTCTCTCCTCTCTCTTTCTCTCTCTCCTCTCTCTTTCTCTCTCTCCTCTCTCTTTCTCTCTCTCCTCTCTCCTCTCTCTCTCTCTCTCTCTCTCTCTCTCTCTCTCTCCCTTCCTCCTTCTCTTTCTTTCTCTCACTCATTCTCTCTCTCTTCCCTCTCTCCTCTCTCTTTCTCTCCCTCTTTCTCATCTCTCTTTTTCTGTCTCTCTCCTCTCCCTATTTCTGTCTCTCTCTCCTCTCTCTATTTCTGTCTCTTTCTCCTCTCACTCTCTCTCCTCTCTCTTTCTCTGTCTGTCTCTCCTCTCTCTTTTTCTGACTCTTTCCCTCCTCTCTCTCTCTCTCTCTCTCTCTCTCTCTCTCTCTCTCTCTCTCTCTCTCTCTCTCTCTCTCTCTCTCGCTCTCACTCACTCTCTCCTCTCTTTTTTTCTTTCTCTCTCTCACTCTCATTCNCTCTCTCTTCCCTCTCTCCTCTCTCTTTCTCTCCCTCTTTCTCATCTCTCTTTTTCTGTCTCTCTCCTCTCCCTATTTCTGTCTCTCTCTCCTCTCTCTATTTCTGTCTCTTTCTCCTCTCACTCTCTCTCCTCTCTCTTTCTCTGTCTGTCTCTCCTCTCTCTTTTTCTGACTCTTTCCCTCCTCTCTCTCTCTCTCTCTCTCTCTCTCTCTCGCTCTCACTCACTCTCTCCTCTCTTTTTTTCTTTCTCTCTCTCACTCTCATTCTCTCTCTTTCTTTCACTCTATCTCTCTCTCTCGCTCTCTCATTCTCTCTGAATCGAGGACTGAAACGAAGCTCAAGGTTCAGGATAAGTCATGTTGCATAATTTACACATTATGCCTTTTTTGATATGTATATGAATACAAACAAAGAGACGCTGGAATTTCAAGTATCTACGCATCTGACCAGCTCAGGGTGAACCTTCGTCGAAAATTACTATCTGAAGCGGAATTAGAAAGAATAATGAATAAAGTCCGTCTTGCTGAAATTCCTGATGAGCACGAGGAACTTTAAATTAATGTTACAAACGATAGAGCAGAGAAATAGCAAATACGCTCCATACCATGCATTTAAAATATTAAGGAATCCCGTAAGCCACATGCTCGAAATTGCCGAAAGGTCTCCTACAATTGCAAGGTGTTAATGGCAGTTCAGATGGTTGTAAAGACGATTTAGACTATCTATCAACAGACGTCAATTTGTTTGCCCAAACAAACTGGAGACAATTTCAACTCTAGAAAGGCCGTCAATACCTACTGCTTCCAAATAATCGTGTACTGTCGACTGTGTTTCCCCAAGCGTCAACACTACCCTCGACAATGCTTCCTCTTTCCTAACAGAAATGCAGCAGCCCTCCATTTAAGCAGGGCTTAAGTTAGACTCATTGTAATGGAGAAAAGCAGCCAACACTAGCCCAAGCAACAGGGTACTCTAATCTGCTCGCACTCATCTCTCACTCG